GCACATCATAGTGGATGGATCCCAGTCATTTCTGTTGGTTCGTTGGTTGGACAGATGGGTGGGTGGGTGGTGCATGCATGGATGACCGGTGAATGGAGGGAGGGATGGATGGATGAAGTAAAGCTTAGAACTGAACTGAATGAGGTCCGCTGCTGGCAAAACCTGCGTGCTTAACTACTGAGACACACTGCCACTGGCTTTGTCTGCAGTCCTCCTCTACCTGCCGAGGTTGGGGTTTGCTTTACACACCTTAAGTGAGGTGTAATTTACATACAATTAAAGTGTGTGATTTACATACTATTTTAAGTGTGTGATTTAATGATTTTACTAGACTTACAGAGTATGCAACTCTCAGTGCAATCTCGTGTAAAGTATTTCCATCACCCTCAAGGATGTCCTCACGCCTGTTTGCCGTCTGATCTCCGTTGCCCTCCGTGCTCCCTAGGCCATGACGGTTCCACTTTCTGTCCCTTTAAATTTGCCTTTTCAGTCATTTCAGATACAAGGAATCATACAGTGTGTCTTTTGCATCTGGCTTCTTTGCTTGGCATAATACTTGTGAGGTTCATCCATACTGTAGCTTGTAGCCTTTCTTTTAAAAAGATTTTATTTATTTTCAGAGAGGGGGAGGGAGGGACAGAGGGAGAGAAACAGCAATATATGGTTATCTCTCATGTGCCCCCCCCCCACTCACTGGGGACCTCACCCACAACCTAGGCTTGCACCCTGACTGGGAATCAAACCAGTAACCCTTTGGTTCACAGGCAAGCACTCAGTCCACTGAGCTACACCAGCCAGGGCCATATTGTAGCCTTTTTACTACCAAATATTATTCCATTGTCTTGGATAGACCACATCTGGCTTACCCATTCATCAGTGGATGGACATGTGGGTCGTTTCCAGTTTGAGGCTATTATGAATAATGCTGCTGTGGACATTCTTGCACGTGTCTTTATGCAGAGTCTGTTTTTAGTTCTCTTGAGTAGATTTCTAGGAACAGAGTTGCTGGGTCAAATGATAAATTTATGTTTAATGTTTTAAGCAACTGCCAAACTCGTTTCCCATGATATTCTCCTAGTTTACATTCCCACCAGCAATGCACAAGGATCCCAGTTTTTCCACGTCCTCGCCTGCACTTGGAATCACCTGCCTTTTTGGTTGCAGCAGCCTGGTGGGTGTGCAGTGTGTCTCTTTGTGGTTTGAACCTGTATGTCCTGGACGGCTCCTAATGTCAAGCAGCATCATGCATTTACTGCTAGGCTGGGGTTTCACCTCTCCAGCCAGGGGTTGGCACACTTTTTCTCCAAAGGGCCAGATAGTGAGTACTTGGGGCTTTGTGGGCCACGTTGACTTCTGTCACATGTATTTTTTCATGACCCTTAAAAAATTTAAGACCATTCTTGGCTTCCTTGCACAGAAATAAGCAGAGAGACAGCTCGAAGGCCCCTGTCAAAGGATTCCAGCAGCCCATCCACTCAACATGGCGAGAGGTTGCCCACGCTCCTGATGAAGTGGGCTCGGTGGGAGGACCACACTGCAGAGCTGAGGGCTGGGCTCCTGGGAGCCTGGCGGGCAGTGTCCCCAGCCCCACTGTGACTTACCACCAGATGAATTCATTGGAGTTCCTGGGATGAAATCTACTAATGTGTCACCCAAGGCAGAGTAACTGGGCCCCTGTGGTCCTGAATGGGTCTCCCTCTGCCTGTCGCTGCCCTGTCCCAGAGTTCAGGGCCTCTTCTGGGAACCAGTGGCCTGCCCACACCCATGACCATGATGTCACAGATGCACTTCCACCCTCTGTTCCCACCTGGACCCTGCTTCTCAGAGCCTTGTGAACTTGTCCTGGGCTTCACCCCATGCCACCGAGCATTCCTGACCCCTTCTTCACAGTGTCTCTTGATGAATCTGTCCTTCCTCTCCACCACCTGTGCTGGCCCTGTTGGATGTGATGGAAAGAGGGAGATTTCTGGGGTCTATCAAAGCCAGTTTTGATTCTTGAGTTGCCCTTTTCAGCTACGTGACCTTGAGCAAGTCATGTCACCTCTCTGGTCATGATAGTCTATGTGTGAACAGGACACTGTCGTCCTATAGCGGAAGCTGCAGGCACCCTTCCCTCTCAGCAGTCTTAGAGTCTGCTCCCAGGGCTGCTCTCCCTGTGGCAGGCCCCTAGCTCCTGGAGCTACTGTGAGGACCGCATGAGAAGATGCTCATAAGTGCCTACCCGGCACAGAGCCTGGTATGTAGTACGTGCTCATTGAATGCAGCCCTTGTTACAACCCCTGGGACCTTCTGGTTTTGAATGCATCCTCTGTGACCTCTGTTCTGGGGCTGCCTCTTAAACAAGGGTTCGGGTTCCAGAGGCATTCGTGGGAGAGCAGTTGCCAGTGAGCACCAAGGCTGAGCACGGCTATTAAGGGGCTCCTTGGAAGCTGCACTGGGGCTGGTGGCACCCCGTGGACCCTTCTGCCGAGGTCTTGCTGCTCCAGAGTCTTGGTATGTCTGAGTGTGGCCAGCAGGGGACTGTACTCACGACCACCCACGCCGTGGGCCAGCTGGATTCAGTTCAGTTTAAATGAGAGTTGGCTGGAGCAATGTTCATCAAAGATTAATGGTGGCTATTTCTAAGATGTGGGATTCAAATTTATCCTTTTTGTGTGCTTTTCGTCATGGTTTAAAATTCTTAAAATAAGCACGCATCGTTTTCACCAAAAAGTGAAGTCATTATTCTTTCGAAAGTAAATGACTTGCAGGCGATCAGAAGAGAAGGCACTTAAAGCTCAGACCGTGCTTGGATCTAGAATCTGCTGTGGGAAGATGTGGGTGTGTGTCATTGTGGTTTTCTTTGGGGCTTAATAGATAGCAAGCTTCTGTGACCATTTCATAGTCATTTGAACAGTAAGCAGTTCTCTGGGCACAAAGCAAAACCACAATGTCCAGCACTCAAAGGAGCCTTCATCCCTGTCGGGGGAGGGGTTGGGTTCTGCCTTGGGAACGGTCTCCGCTGCAGGAAGCTTTGGGCGGGCGGTGTTTGCTTGGATCAGTCAGGGAGGCTCAGCTGACGGTAACTAGGACCGAGTCTGGTTACGGTCCCTGAGTCTGGGTATGTTCCCCGGAAGCCAGAGAACTGGGTGTGTCTTGTCATTAATGTCATGGATCTCAGCAAGCACTAATTGTCACTGACATCCTCATCAAGACGTACTTACTATTCATTAGCCACCCACCCCCCTCCCCCGACAGCGCTTGCCATGGCTTTTTCCCCATCCTAATCTCGTCCAAAATGATGGACAAGGAGATGGGCTGCTCATTTCCCTCCCCCACCTGGTGAAAACTATGCTGTCTTCAACCTTTGGGCTCCTCTGTCCTTCTTGGCCCTCTGCGAGGGCCTGTCCCTCTCTGGTTCTCGATGGGGAGCGGGTGACCAGGCAGAGAGCCGTAAGACAGAGAGAAGGGGGTGAGGGACAGAGGGAGTGGATGTTGTGTGTGTAGGGAGAGACCAGTTGGCCTACACACGAAAGACCTGGGGCACTGAGGGGGAGGTCAGCTCTGAGTTAAGTGGGTGATGGTGGTGGTGATGGGGGTACGATGAGCAAGTAAGAGGTTCCAGAACATCATGGAGTGTGAAGAAATGGGAGGAAGGAAATGGGATGCTTTTTTGTATTGCTGTGGATTGTACATTTTATCTTTTTGAAGTTTTTCAAAAGACACTAATTAAGTATCCTGATTCCCCTTTTTGTTACTGGTGGTGGCTTTGTTTGGACTGTGCTCTCGAATGTAACTCCATATAGAGTGGCCCATGTGGGTCCGGGATTTATAAAGGTGACGTATTTTAAGAGGCTGCAGGGTATTTTCATGCCTGATTTACAAAAGAGGAAACTGAGGCTGAGTGGGTTGAAATGCTTTATAGGAAGAATCTGATGTGTCTGACTCTGGACTCTACCTCGTTCCGCCCCAGTGCCTTGCTCAGCACAACTCCTACCCAGTTTGGTAAAGACTGTGTGCCCCGAATGCATGGGGTTCCAAGATCACATTGTAATTCTTAACTCAGAAGCTCAGTGGTCAGGGAGACTCTGGTTGCTTTGGGGGCCAGTGGGAGACCATAACCTCCTCCTCCTCCTCTTCCTCATCCTCCTGTTTCCTCATTCAGACTTTGGCTTGGAGATTGTGACATGTCACTCCAGCTGGCTGCTGGCATAGTGACACTAAAATTAGGTTTTCCCCATAGAGCAGCAGCGCACTTAATGAAGGAGTTCATCCTGATAGAAAGAGAGGCTCCCCAGCAGGCCGGGATGGCGGTGGGGGTGGGGATTTGGCTGGGACTTCGGCCTTTCGCCTTCCGAGGCAGGGCTCCTGTTTCCATGATGTCAGAGAGGCGGAGCTAACTCGGCCTCACATCGGGGGAGGCAGCAGCCCTTGCCTTCAGCTTCGCCAGTGGCTCCTGAGCCAAGGTGAGAATGCTCCCGTCTTCCTCACTAGGGGGAAGCTGAAGATGGCCTTGTTTCCTGGGGGCCATCTTGGACTCTGTCCCCACCTGGCTGGATGGGGTTGAATTCTTTGCCCCTGGTCTGTCTGTCCTGTTTCTTATCTGAGCCCCTCTCCAGGGGGACCTCTTGGGAGCGGATGAACAGAAGTAGTGCTTCTAACTCAAAGACAGTCACTTTGTGGACCCACGAATATTTCCGCTCCTATTGGCTTTGAACACTCGGGAAGTAAGTTTGGCAGGATATGATCTGAAAGAGAAATCTTTTTTTTTTCTTAAGTCACTGGAAATCGTATTGAAATTACTCTTCTGTATTCAGGAAGCCTGGCCACAAACACACCTGTGCCTTAGGACAAGCGTCTCCTTCCTTTTTCAGGCATCTGTGTCTTACGGGCAGACAGTGGCCCACACTGATACTTTCTTGGGGGCTTTTACAGCTTAATGCATCTAATTCTTTGATCACGTTGTATCTTCTGGCACCGACATATCAATAACATGTTTGTGTCTTCTTTATTCTGACCAGAAAAAGATTTACAAATACAAGAAAGTCCTGAGTAACCCAAGCCGTTGGGAGGTTGTCTTGAAGGAGATCCGAACTCTGGTGGACATGGCCCTGACATCGCCCCTGCAGGACGACTCCATCAACCAAGCCCCACTGGAAATCGTCTCAAAACTGCTCTCAGAGGTAAGGTGCTTCCCCTTGCTGGGCCTGGCACCTCAGTGCCCCCTCTTTAAATTCCTTTATTTCCCTTTACCTCCCCTGCTCACCATCCCTCGGCCAGAATTGCATTTGAGTTTATGCTGTTTCTCCATTGCTTAAGAAGGTGAGCGGTTCCCCCCAGCTATTTGAGGGTGTCAGGAAGGTTTGCCCACTGCTTCCCACTGAGCTGTCCAGGGCCTGTGGCAAGGACGAAGGGACAGCTATCACTACCCTGTCATGCCTTATGACCAAACAGGATGGCAGGTGGTGGTGGTGTGGTTATGGTCTTGGCCCTGAGGTGTGGGCTGTTGGTGGTGGTGGTGGTGATGGCTGAATCAGAATTCTCTAGTTCATTCCCAAGTGGGAGTGCACCGGGGAAGCCCCCAGACTGTCCTTCCTTCCAGCCTCCCCTGTGGGGGCTGGAAGTCCCGGCACTGGCCCGCCTCTGTGCCAATGGTCTGGGCAATGTGGTTTTCTGCCCTCATCACCCCCAATAGCCTACAGCTATATTTTGTTTATCTTGCACAGGATTTTTAAAATTGGGAGACTTCATGACAAAATGGGAATTTCCTAGTTCCCTTTAAAAACAGTCAGGAAATTCGGCAGCACTCTGCAGCTGGCGCTGCTTAGCGCCACCCGTCTGAGCCATCTGCTTTGCCAGGCGGCCCCGCGCTTTGAGTGCGTGCTGGGTGCCAGGTGCCATCCTGGGCATTCGGGAGGAGGCAAGCCCCTGCCCTCCTGGAGCTTACTCCTGGCAGTGGGGCGGACAAGGGAGACTTAATTAGGGAATTGGTCACGCTGTTCGTTAGAAGGTGAGGGGTGCTAGGAAACACACTTCTGTTTACTCTGTTCCAGGTGCTATTCTAAGCTAAGCACTGTACAGATATTAATAATACTGCTCATTTACTTGCCCGCCTGGCCCCTGGGGGCACTAGACTTGATGGCTCCTGATTTAAATTATGCATGGCCACTAGAGCGACACTTCTGTCCCCTTCTTTCTGTACAGTGAAAGAAGGGGACAGAAGTGTCCCCTCCCTTGGAGGTGGCCCCTGTCTTCTGATACCCTGGTTCCCTGAGTAGCTTCTACACGCCCCCCTCGACTTCCACATAAGCCCCCTGCTGCCTAGCCCTGGCCCTCCCCCTGCAGGCCTGGATTGCTCACTCCTGTCGGTCCAGGAAACCGGCCCAGGCCCTGCATGTCTGCAGACTTGGGAGGGTCCTTCACCCTGGGAGGAGGTAGGGGTGAGAGGTAGAAAGAGGCCGTGACAGTCGCAAGCAGCAGAACAGAGGACGTGTCCTCAGTGGGAGACCAGCCTTGTTCCCCAGAGGAGTGAACACTCGGGCCCTGAAAGGAATGGCGGTCAAGGTCTGGAACTTGAGGCCGGGTGCTATGTGCCCAACCTCAAGTGCTGGCTTCCCACCCTGAGCAGGGGAAGAGTGGGCAGGCCAGGGGCCGGCCTGTCACGGAGGACGGGGACAACAGCTCACTTTCGGCAAGCAGCTGCTCTGTGCCAGACAGGTGCTAGGCGCCACGCGCCCAGCGTCTCTTTTAACACGCCCGCCCTGAGTGATGGGCCTTGCTGTCTCCGTGTCACAGATGAGGAAACTGAGGTCCGGTGGTACTGATCTGCCAAGTAAGCAGTGGGACTGGAAATTCCATTCCACCTTGGGGCTGTCTGGTTCTTTGTGCAAGACCACATTGCCCTCCCCCTCCGCCCCACCAGCCTTGGCCACCATTAGAAAATCAGGATGAAGGTGGAGGTGGCAGGTGACACTCTTGCCAACCTCTGGCAGGATTTCTTTCCCATCTCAGATATGCTTCGTGTGACTACATGCCCATACGGGCCTTTGCATTACTTCTCAAGCTTTCAACCAACTGTCTCAAAGTCAGCTGATCGCCAAGTGGTTGAGGGGAGAGATAAAGACATTTTAAAAAAAATAGTAGAAGCTTGCATTTGCTATGTACCTACTGTGTGCTGGGCTGGGGTCAGTATTAGTCACCCTGTTTTACTGATTCGCACTGCCATTAGTAAGGGACAGAACTGGGACCATAGCCCAGATGGCACCTCCTCCAGTAAGGCTCACCACCTCTCCAGGTGACACTAACACTTTTTCAGCACACACTCTGTGACCATCACTTTGGCAGGGATTTAGAGCTGATGTTTTACATTTCTTCCAGAGACCCTGCAAGCTAAGTATTAAAATGTGTAGAAGAGTCAATAGAGGCTCCAAGAGGTTCGGTTGTCCGCCCAGGGTCCCTCGGAGAAGGGGTGGACCAGGACCATGCCCAGGTCTGCCCGATGGCAAAGTGCAGGCTCTTCTGCATAGATGTGACACGAACTTGCATTTGTAGAGGCTTTTTAGCGAGGGGGAGACCCACCTGTGTGGGTCAGTGGTGAGAAGCAAATGTGTGGAGTCAGAAAGACCTAATTCCATCCTCAGGAGCTAACTGGCCGTGGGCAGGCTCCTAGCTTCTCGGTACCCAGTTTTCATGGGTGAGCTAGGGCTCAGACTAGCGCCCATTTCACAGACATGAGGGTCATCCTCCTTCTTCGCCCTTTTTTGTTTAGACTTTATGGGGCATCCCTGACCTCCTAGGCCTTTTGTTGAGTTGAGTGTGTGGAGTGACCAATCAGCTTGGGGTTCAAGTGTCCCCTCAAAGCAGTGGCTCTTAATGAGCACTCTTCACCCAGGGCTGAGGCTGGCCTTGGTGGAGAAAGTGTCCCTACAGAGTGGCATGGGCTGCCACTGGTGACTGACAAAGGAAATGGTCTCTGTGCTCACTGAAGGCTCTTCCTGGAAAGGTGCAGAGTGTGGTGGGGGACAGGCTGGTCCCACTGAGCCTGAAAGATGGAACTGCCATTTGTGCAGGCTGAGCACCATGGCTCGGTGGCTGGAGACGGAGGCTTTGGAATCCGCCAGCTATTAGCTGTGTTCCCCGGTGAGCACCGGCACCTCTGAGTCTCGGGTAGCTCACTGTTGAGGGGCTCGTGGGAAACAGCAGGAGAACCTCCACGAGAAAGAGAAGTGGGTGGGATTGGTATTACAAAGCTCTGACACAGTGCCCGAGGCATAGTACACTCGTCAGTCAGTCATAAGGGAAGAAAGACCAAAGCCAGGCTTTCATCTACCCTGAGCTGAAAAATGACTGATGTTTAATAGTCTGCCCTAAGTGGGCTGCTCAAACTGCAACATCCACAAAAAGAAAAAGGCGTTGGAATCCATAAAACATCCTCCTGAATGTTCCCTGATTCTAAGCATCTCGGGTCAGGCCGTCTCCATGGGAACCTGGAGACTCGTGCAGCTCAGACACTGACCCTGGTTCTGTGTCCACCTTCATCTCTGGGCAGCCAGACGAAAACAGGCTCACTAGCTTCAGCTGTGTAAACATGGTGGCTATCCCAGTGCCCCTGAAACCTGGCCAGGTGGTGGGTGCTGGGGGCTTTTTCTGGAGCAGTTGACCTTTCCAGTTCACTGTCCAGCGAGGAGGCATCTTGCAAGCAGCATCTGTGACTGTTAGAAAATATGAATTGACACCAAAGAGAGCCCGTGTCCACCAAGACAGACAAAACAGAACACACCCTGAAACTAGCAAAAAAAGACAGTGGCGGCTGTCTCTGAGTTTCCCTGTGATTTCTCATTTATTGCGTATTCATCGCTTTCCTCACCTGCTTACTCACAGGATGGCAGTTACAGGTAACCCATTGTGTAAGAAAATTCCAGATTGTGGGGGCGGGGGGGTAGACACTAAAAATTAAGCAAGGTTAGTCCATTCAACTTAGTATTGTTTTTGAAAGTTAACTGTTAGAATTTAGCTACAAGATCTTGGGCCAACTCATAGAACACCGGTGTTCCCTAGGAACCCAGTTTGCAAACCGCTGAGATGATACACACGCCACTCCTAAAAGACTCCAGCATGGAGTCAAGACTTAAAAGTCTTCTTCACATGTTTACTGTGAACCAGTCTTCTGGCTTCCAAGTGGCATCACTACGACAAGGGCCAATCACGGGTTTGAGCCCTGTCCATTGTAGACCCTTTCCCAGCAACCCAAAGAGGATCCCACTGACGGAAGAAGAAACTGAGTCTCACTGAGAAGTGATCTGTCCAAGGTCACATAACCCACAAGCTGCAACACAGCAACTAGGAAACATGATTCCCCTGCCCCAGGGTGTACTTTTCTCCCGTCCAGCTGTGCCTTTGGGGGTCTGCTGATCTCTGCAGTTAAGGAAAAGTGACAACAGTGCTCGGTCCGAGAGGCTGCAAGCATTGTGTAACTCTGTGGACCTTTGAGATACAAGTGTTCCATCTTGTTAACATTCGGATCTTTGTTTTGTTTTGTTTTCTTCCTGCTTTCTGCGTTCCATCCTTCAGAACACAAACTTGACTACCCAGGAGCATGAAAACATCATTGTGGTAAGTCTCTCGCCACCCCTCTCCCTCTGCCCACCGCCCAGGCCCACCTGGGTTTGAGCTATTCTCAAAATTCCAGAGGCACCCATGTCATCCAGCGGCACAGCCACCTTGCACAGCTTTCTCTCCTCTCACAAGCTAGACATGTCTCCCTCCCTCCTTTTGCACATTTCAGAGCCCCAGTTGACTTGGGGGATGTAATTATCAGTCTTTGAGGTTTGTAGCAAATGTGTCTTAATTGCCTCCTCCTTCCTGAGTCTGCTGAGGGAGTTGAAGGCAGGAGATAGCAGAGACCACGTAACCCATTCAGAGGCAAAACCTGTAGTGGAAAGGTAGGTAACCTGGTCTCTTTCCTGCCCCAGGCCATGTCTCCTAGTTATTCCACAAATAGAACCTGGATGCAGTTCCCTCTGATGTGCAAAGTGAGATGATACTTTCTGGGACTTGACTATGATGTAGGCATCTTTGGGGCTAAAAGTCTTTCTGGGTTAATTTTCAGCTATGAAACATGACTCTCACTAGGGAGAAGAAAGCAATGAATTTGCACCCACTGTGTGCCAAGCACTGTGCTATGTCTTTGGATACACAGATAACTGAGGCAGCCCCTGCTCCTAAGGAGTTCATCTTCGTTGTAGGAAGACAAATGAAATCATTGCAAAAATAGAGGCATGTGGTATAGAGAGAAGAGTGATAAAAACTCACTTGGGAAAGAAGCCAGAGGGCTTCCTGGGGGCAGTGATGTCTGCACTGGGTTTTGAAGATTCAACAGGAGTTTGCCAGTTGGCAATACAGAGTACAGGCATTCTAGAGAGAGGAAATAAAATATGAGCAGAGAGTTAAAGCAGTGTGGTAGTTTTGGGGAACTTCAGCATTGCTGGAGCATGAAGCATAAGGAAGTGGGAAGCAGGGAGGCAGAGCCTGAAATGGAAGTGAGAGGCAGAGAGAGGCCCGTGTGCCCGGGAAAGGACCCGGAACACTCACCCGCCCGAGAGGGCCCATGGCTGCAGCCGCTGAATCAAGGGCCACATCCCAGACACCGTGCCTCTCTGAGCTGAGTTAGGGCTTTGGGCGCCCACCAGCTTGGCCCTAGCTAGCCCAAGCAAGGGGATCACCCTCCTTGCCCCAGGCGGGTCCTGTCAGCTCCGAAGGAGATAAGCCCTGGGCCTTTTATTGCTGAGCGTAAAGGTAGCAGCTTCCGAGGAGCCCCAACCGCGGCATCTGGTACATAGTAGGGACTGAGTGGGTATTTGTTAAAAATACAGAGGTTTTTCCTGTGCTTCCCACCTGGCCACCCATTGCCATCTTTGGCCAGAACAGGGGAGCATCAACCGGGGCACCCCCAGTCATCCACCACCACCTTTCTCTGGTGCACTATTCTGAACAAAGTAACGAACATTTGTCGACGTGAGAGTGCAGGTGTGCGCCATACACTGGTCTCTGTTCCGCAGACATACAGCTGCCACTGAGGGCTTCACTGTGTGCTGGAGGAACCTGGCAGGTCAATGGATAATCAAGAAATGACATAGTCAGAAGTTGACATTTGTTCAGGGTGTTAGAGGAGCACAGAGGACAGACACCTAACCTCCTCTGTCAGGGAGGGTGCTGGGAGGAAGATGACAGAGGGCTTCCCAGAGGAGGTGAGCACACTCAGTCTTAAAAGACGGATAGGAGCCGTCCCGGGAAAGGCAGGCCGTGTAGGGGGCCCGGTGCAAGTGAGGGCAAAGGGGTGGGACTGGCTAGTGGAGAAGCAGACGGGACTGTGGATGCCAGGGAAGGAGTTGGCATCTTCTTCTCCCTCTGCCAACCCCTGTGGGTCCCATGGTGCACCTTGGCCCTGGAAAGGAGGGGTGAAGGCTTTGGACTTAGGACAAGGCTGGGAGACAAATTTTGGTAGCCCAAGAATTTATATGCATGACCCATATGCATGACAAAGCCACACAGACAGACACTGTTGTGTCTTTGCTTTTTCTTTTTAACGTCAATGATGACATGCTGGATGTATTGTTCTGTGTGTGTGTTCTTACTTAACAAATCGTCTTGGAAATTCTTCCCAGTCTTTTCCTGCGTATCTGCCCCAGGGTGTCTCACCTTTGACACTAGTGCATGACCCATGGACATGAACAAAGCTGTGGGGATGCCTGAGGGAGTGGGGGCTGCTGGGTAGGAGGGGGCAAAGAGGGCAAAATGAGTACAATTGTAATACCATAATCAATAGAATATAATTTTTTTGAAAAAGACCAGAAAAAAATTCTTGTCTGAGAAGTCTGGGCTGCATTTAGCCAGCTGGTTTGGCTGGGCTGACCCTTCACTGGGCCGGGCTGAGCGTCCCTGCTCACTGAGGTGCCTGGGAACAGGGAGGAGTTTGATGCAGGATCTGGCCCCCAGCCCCCCCTCCCCCGCCTGCCCCTTCAGTGTTCTTTCTCCCCGATGCCGTGTTCACTGTCATGAAGCCCTCAGTGGCCTCCTTTCATTCCAACAATCACACGGTCTGGTTTGACCTGCTGGCAACTGTCCTCTCCCAGTGGGGCTTGGTGTTTTTTCATGTACTTATTTTTCGTAAGCACTTTTATAAGTAACTTGAGTTGGTATGCATGCAATAGGTGAGGGTTGGTGACAGCTGAAGTGTCACTGGGTGAGGATGGGCCTGGAGGCTAGATGCCAGCTGCCTTTCCCCATGCTGGTGAAAAAAGTGGGTTTGAAGCTGAATGTGGGTTCAAGTTCAGAGCCAAAGCAGACCCTGGGCCCACCTCATACTAACTGTGACCTTGGGCAAGTAGTGGAAGAAGTTTCACTTTTATTTAATTTTATTAAAATTAGCTTTGACTTTGCAAGTATTTCGTGAATGTATTTTAATTGAGGGAAAAAAAGCTCACCCCATTCCAGCACACTCTTCAGAGACAGTCCCAGCGGTTTCCCACCGTGACAAAGCCACACAGACAGACACTGTTGTGTCTTTGCTTTTTCTTTTTAACATCAATGATGACACGCTGGATGTATTGTTCTGTGTGTGTGTTCTTACTTAACAAAACGTCTTGGAAATTCTTCCCAGTCTTTTCCTGCGTATCTGCCCCAGGGTGTCTCACCTTTGACACTAGTGACATTCAGGGGTGGAGAACCCTTTGTGCTGGGGGCCGTCCTGTGCTCTGCGGGAGGCTGAGCGGCACCCCTGGCCTCCACCCACCGGGTGCCGGTAGTCCCCGCCACGACACGGACAGTCAGAACCAGACGCTTGCCGACCTCCTGGGGGGCAGAGCCACCTCAGGCGAGAACCACTGGCCTGCCCGCAGTCTCTCCCCTGGCTCAGGGGTGTTTGTACTTAGTCAGACAACCACTGGGCTGGCTCACTCGATGCTCCAAGCCTCAGTCTTCTCAGCTGAGAGGTGTGTGTGGTACAAGGTCTCGCCTACAGGGCTGTGGGAGTGGCTGAAGGAGCCAGTGTCCCTAACACACTCAGCTCATAGAGGAACTCCACAAAAATACACACGTTTTAATTAATTATACGTTTTAAAATTGTCATCATTCCGTGACTGAGACAGGCCTTGTAACTTCCCTGACCCTTTGTCTCTTTGTCTGTATAAATGGAAGCAACGACGGCTTCACCTCACCTGCTGAGACCAGGACCAAATGAGAGAACTGCTGTGGCAGCATGGCCCCCGGGCCTGATGCCCAGTGCGGGCGCTTAGTTTGCACCCTCTCCCCGGTCCCTTGACTCAAGCCCGGGAAAGAGGGGCTCAGTGTGATGAAGGGCCTCCGCCCAGCGGGGTGCACACTGCACGCGATCCCTCCTCCCAGAGCTCGATCCCCCCTCCCAGAGCTCTGTCGGAGCAGCAGAGCCGCGGGACAGACAGAGGCCCCTGTCCCGCTGTCCCTGCTGCGACCTCGCTTCTCCCCGTGTTTACAGGCCAGCACATTGGAAGGGGCAGCGCAGTTCCCACTCGGCGGCCAGACACTGCGCCTCCCTGTCAGGAGAGCCCCGCAGGGCGGGAGCACTCTCTGTCTGCACTGCCTGTTGCGGGAGCCACGAGCTTCCTGTGACTGACTGGCGAGCACCTGACATGTGGTCAGTGGGCTGGAGGGACTTCACTCTTAATTTTATTTCATTTAAAATCATTTTATTTCATATCAGGTAAATTTTGAATAGGCACATGCACAGCCCTGGACGAACATGACCTTGGGCCTGGTCTCTAGCTCTTATCAGCCGGGCTGTGGGTGCAACAGCGCCTCACCCCATTCCAGTGACTTCATTGTTCACCCAGGCACCCTCCCCGACACAGCGGGTCCGCTGAGGGTCATCTTTTCCTCGTGTCCCACCACGCTTCTTTCCCCGGTGGCCCCGAGACCAGCAGAAGGCCTTACCGAGAGGTCACCACACACAGCCATGGGCGTCCCTGTAGAGGGCAGGTGAAGGAGACCCTCTGAAACTGTGCAGGCAGGGGCTGAGCTGCGGCGGGTGGTCCTGGGGAGGCGGCGCCATTGCGGAGCCTCTCTGGGGAGTTGGGCACAGTCGGCACCCTTTGCTGCCGTGCCAGCACAGCCCAAGACAGTCCCCTTGTGGCGGTGCCAGTGACTCGCTGTGCTCTAGGCCGTGTGCCTGCACCAAGCCTGAGACACCAAAGCTTCTAGAGTTTCCTCTCATCACATCCTCCTGACAGCCCTGTGAATCGGTAACTCTGGTTTCCCCCATTTTACGGACTAGAAGATTAATGCCCAGAGAGGCTGCGTTGCCCACCCAAGGTCACACTGCCTGGTGGTCTCGTTGCTGGGTCCTGGGTCTTCTGTTTCCTAATCATGTGCCCAGTGTGGCAAACAGGAGGAAGTGTGGGCTTCACATAGCTGTTAACCAGGCAGCAGCTAACACTTCCTGATGGCTGGCCCGGTGCAGGCGCAGGGAGAGGCACTTGCCCCCGAGGTTCTCGAATGAGGCCAGTTCTGTCCCCCTGGGGGCATTTGGCAATGTCTGGACACACTTTTTTAATTGTTCAAAATTTGTATTTGGTTTGAAATTTAGCAAGTTCATTAAAATAGAAGTTATGAAAGGGACAGAAAAATCGAGAATCAAACACCGTTCAGTCCATGGGACGCTGGCCTAGGAATGACAGTGGAACCCGTAGTTATCGTCCAGCTGGCTTAAGAAGGCTCCCTGAGACATGAATTCAAGGGGCACCAAATACCAAATGAAGTGTATCCGGAGGCATTTTTGATCGTCACGTCTGGGTTAGGGGTCACCTGTGGCATCCAGTAGGTGGAGAACAAGGCTGCTGCTAGACCCCCCTCAGTGCACAGGGCAGCTGCCACCGCAGGAACAACTGGTCCCAAGTGTCAGCAGCACGAGGCCGAGAAACACACACTGCTTCCTTGTAGTCAGGGACCATTGGTCAGAGCGGGCATCAGCAGGTCATGAAACCCCTCAAGTTCCATGCGTCATTGTATGTGTGTTTTTCGGGGTGGGGGGGCAGCTGACCACTTTTGTCAACTTCTCAAAGGGAGCCACGCACCCCCAAATTTAGGAGCCCTGGCCTGCACATTAGAGAATGGGCCTTCTTGCCCAGAGGGTGACAGGGAGGTGTACCTTCCATTGAGAGTCCACCCTCTTGTGCAGACACACAGCCTCTGTGTGATTCTTCCAGATTCAGACTGACGTTCGGTTCATTGTCTTCCAGGCAATCGCCCCTCTGCTGGAAAACAACCACCCTCCGCCAGATCTCTGTGAATTCTTCTGCAAGGTACGGCATGGCTGCAGCGGTGCTGTGTCTGCAGGACCATCCCGCCTCTGTGTGTGTGTGTGCGTGTGTGTGTGTGTGTGTGTGCTGGGGGTTGGCTTTGCTCAATTTGCTGAAAACCCAGGCCCCACCAGCTGGGGTCAGGGCCCTGGACACAGCCAGCAGACAAGCCGAGTTCACAAAATTGTGTACCCTGTTCACAAAATCACAGTCCCTTCTTGGTCAGGTGAGCACTGAAGCCCAGGGTCCAAACCAGTGGGCCAGGGAGGAGTGTCCAGGTTTTCCTTGAAATGTCTTCGTGGCTGTCTTGGGAGAAGTTTGTAGCAGATTTTCTAGGCCCCTGACGTCAGAGCTGGGTTATTTTTAGCCAGGGCTTCTCTGAGTACCAGCTGGCCCACAGTGGGGGCCCGGCCGTGGGGCTTTCCTGAGGAGGGAAAGCGGTCGGGATGCCAGGTTAGCTTGGAGGAGCCACGAAGAGGGACGCCCGCTTCCAGGGACACGGCGCCAGCCTCTCAGTGGGGTTTATATGGGACAGGTCCAGAGCACACTGGGGACCAGGCATCCCTCATTCTGCCAGCAAGCTCCCTGAGTCGGCCCCAGGGCTGAACCAGCACACAATTTGGTTTTGTTCTCTGTTGTCTGATTTTTTAATGTAATGATTTGTCCTTGGAAAGACGAGGGCCTAGGTCTGCTGCTTCCCAGCACTCGCCTGGTCTCATTCCTGATGACTCACCTCGCTTGTGTGTCTTTCCTCCCCTGTGGCGTGGCACAGCCACCTGGGAGGCCTGGTGGTTTCTGGAGGAAAGGGGGCTGGGGTATACTCACTGCCCCCACCCCTCACCCTTCACCCCTGGGCCCCTCTGCACTCAGGGAGCGTGTTCTGTCTGTGTTGTCAAGTGACATAAATTTAAGGGAGAAGGGATTGTGTTATATCCTCTTGGCCCTGTCTCTCCATCGGGAGACCTTTTCCAGCAACCCACAGAGCAGAGGGTGGGCCCAGGGTACATTGTTAGTGTGGGCATGTGCCAGTGTGTGCCTTCCAGTGCAAGCAGGTGAGGTGGGTTCAAATGGGTGAGCGCCCAGCTGTGCAGTCGTACCTGTGCGTGTGTGCATGCAGGAGCGTGCCCGCACATGGTGGCGGGCTCTGTGCTGTATCCAGGCCCCTCCCCCTGGGGCCACACAAGGGGAAGTAACAGCTTGATGAGACTGAAGACGAGATGGGCCTCCCTGCCCCCAAGCAGGGCGCAGTCAGATGGCCCAGTGTTTGGGCTCCTGGGAGAATGGCCAGCTGCTCCCCCACCTGTCACTGCGTGTCATCTCCTCACTTGATATTTGTCCCAGTTGAATCCAGACCTGCTTCTCTTTCTCCTTTCAGCTGTAGGATTTCTCTTGGGTCTCATGGTTTACAGACTCATCCTAGAGCAATGGACCTCTTCAAAGTAAATGGTAGCACAGTTGAAAAACCAGTGATACAGCTCTAGTCGGGTGGTTCAGGTGGTTGGAGCCGCGTCCTACACATCAAAGAGGTTGCAGTTTGGTCCCCAGTCAGGGTGCATACCTAGGTTGCCAGTTCGATCCTGGTCAGGGCTCATATGGGAGGCAACTGATCAATATTTCTCCCACATTGATATTTCTTTCTCTCTTTCATATCAATAAATCAATCAAATCAATATCCTTGGTTGAGAATTAAAAAAAACAGACAGTATGTAGAACAGACGAACCTTTTGGGCATGACCTGGTAAAACTCTCCGTTAGTCCTGGAACAGAGGGCTGCCCTGCCGATTGGAGGGAGGAGTCCGGCCCCGGGGGCCCGTGAGCCTCCCGGCTGGTTTCCCTCGGGGGCGGGGTCAAAGCTAGAGCCTCAGGGCCTCACCCACCAGGAGGGCCTCACCCACCAGGAGGCCCTCCAGGGAGGGGAGCTTGAGGGGAACAAAGCCTCCTCTGCTGGGTCCACTCCGGGCCAGCTCTCTGGACACACCGGGCATGCCTCTCCTGCCAGACTGTAAAACCAGGACCCCAGGATCTGGGGAAAAGTTCTGGTTTCTAATATCCCAAGTACACTGCCCTCATCCAGGGCTAGAAAACTCAGCACCTCAGGCCCGGGCAGGTTGTACATGTGTTAGATTGATGGGGTCTTACCTGCTCCACCTGAAGCTCTTCCATCTGAATCTGAAAACAAAACATGTCAGTGAGATCAGATAAACCCGAGAACTGCACTGGGCCTGCCCATTGACTGCGGCAACTTAGCAGAGCCAGCTATTGAAGAGTCACAGAGTTTTCAAGATCCAGGTGTCCAAACATTTAACCCCTGGTATTCTGTCGCTGATTACTGAGAGCCTCCTCTGTTAGACCGTGCTCTCGGGGTCTTCTTGCTGCAGAAGCCTCACTGCACTAAATAAGGGTCCTGTCAGGCAGATACCTTTCTGTGCCTCTGAAACATCTCAGACTATAAGATCAGGGGAAAAGGCAAACAAGTGCTCCCACACTCCCCCACTTTTCTTAATCACAAACAAACAAACAAAAAGCTAGGCAGCAGTATTCAGTAGGGGAACCCAGGCAGCGGTGCTGAGGGACGGTCCCTGCCCCTGAGCCCTGCCAGGGGCCACAGGCTCCGCGCTGACTGTGCCCTCCTGTCTCCCCAGCACTGCAGAGAGCGGCCCCGGTCCATGGTGGTCATCGAAGTGTTCACTCCCGTGGTCCAGAGAATCCTCAAGCATAACATGGTGAGTGCCCCCAGCCCCCTGACCACAGAGCCGGAGGAGGCGGGCACAAGGCCTTCTCTGCCTTTCCCTTTCACAAAGATTGTGGGTTGGGGTTGGCCACCTGAGAGCCAGGGACTGGGGCTGGAATGCTGTTTTCAGTGTGGGTTTTCGTATAGCCTGTCCCCCTTGGTTGTGTGTTTTTGTATGCAGGCAACAGGAAGCGTCTTTTCACAGGAAGTTAGAGTAACAAAAATAGCACGGCTGGGGTAGAAGAGATGAGTCTCCCATATGTAAAGTCAGAAATTGTGTCCGTGAGGTCCTCTACCCTCAAGGTGGGGGGCAAAGTCCTCACTCCTTCGCTGGGGGCTGTCCCTAGTGGCACCCTTCCAGCACGCAGAGGATGGAAAGGGAGAACAGAGGGACTGTACAGGGAAGAAATCTGACTGCCACCACCTTGGCCAGGTGTTCAAGGCCAGTACCAACAGGGATCAGCCATGGTGATGGTTTGCACCATTTTTACCTCTGGGGTCTCCCTCCCTGCAGCCCGCAGCCCCAGCCTCATCAGGAGGGACCCCTCAGACCAGCCCCCGTGGAGGGGATGCCAGCAAACACCCAGCAGTGCTCCTCACCGCTGTCCGGGGCTGAGAAAGCGCCACAGCCTAGGGGACGTAAGGAGACATGACAGCTGAATGTCATGTGATCTCCTGGATGGGATCCTGAAACTAAAAAGGATATTAGCGAAACATGGAAGAAATCTGAATGAAGTGTGAGCTCTAGTTAACTGAAAAAAAAAAGAGCAGTGGCAGAACTGAGCGGCACACGTACTGTGGACCAGCACTTGGAGTCAGTGTGGCCCCTTCCGCCCCCCAGTCCGTCCGTGAGAGCAGCAAACCATTGTTTTCTCCGTATCACACTTGGGGAAACTCAGGAATAAGCATGACAAACATCTGCTCACACCTTTTTAGAGCCCGACAGTGTGACATTCCAGCGTCAGGTCACTCAGCCCTTAGGACAGCCCGTGGCCTCCCTTTACAGATGAGACCGGGAAGGCTCCCGGGTGACTCGGGGAAGCCGCGGACGGTCGTGCGTGCCCCCATGGTGCTGAGGCGCAGGCAGCCCAGAGCCGGGGCTGGTGCTCCAACATGCTCCGTCAGGCCGCTCCCAGCCCAGACTGAAGTGCGCCTCAATGCCACGCCGGCGCCCATGCAGTCGCAGAGCAGGCTGGGTCACCGAGCCAGGCGTAAGGTGCCTGTGACCGCTGCCTCGAGCACGGTCAAGATGCGCCATGTTGACAACAACCCTGGAAAAGGGCGGCCTGCAAACAGCCTGCTTTGTAAAATAGCTTTCCTGTCTGCACAGCATGCCTCTAACCTACCCCCCACGCCAGTCAGGAGTGGACATGTGGGAAACTGCTCTCCCCTCTCCCTCTCCTAGCCCGCTCAGGGCAGACATCATTAATCGTTGGCAGCACTCTGCCCGCAGAGCCCAGAGACAACTTAACAATCTCTCAACCCAGCGCTCCAGGCAGCCACTGCCGGTTGAACCGTGTCGGCACCCTACGAACACTGAATGCTGTTTACCATGCTCTGCCCCGAGTGATCACACACCGTAACTGAATTGTTGCCTGCTTCCCAGATCTTTCTTGCTTTAGGATAAATGCATTTCTTATTTTCTGAACTTGGGGGAAAGGGATACTCCATCATATGCTTTCTCTAGGACAAACAAGGAAACTCCCTGTTTTTTGGTTCAGGGGAGGTTCTGCCTTAATTTGGGCTGTCATCGTTTCACAGGTGCTCTCTGGCCTCAGCCCTTTGGGAGGAAAGGGTCTCTGATTGTTCATTTTAAAACCGCTGTGGATGAGGTGTGAGTCAAGGGTGTACTTTTCAGAGTCCAAAGCAAAGGTTCTGCAGTTTCTTCTGCAAAGGAGCTTCTCCCCTCACCACTTGTCAGTGACAGGGCCACACCCCATCCGGGGCGTGCTTGGCCTGGCCCCTGCCTCCCCAGGCACATGAACACCTTTGCGTATTTCATGGGAGTCAGTAGACTTTAATAAGGGTTCTTTTGGGATACCCGACTTCAAAGGGAAAAATGTCAAAATTCAGGCAGCCTCCCATGGCCTAACCATACAACATCTCCCTTGTATTTGGCTAGTTTTATGGGCCTGGAGTGTTGACCATGTAATAATTTTCTGGATAAAAATCAGAACAGCTACAGGGCAAGCCCAGAATTTACAGCTCTGTTGTGGCCTGGCAGAGACCAGGGACCCTTGGGCATGAATTCTCACTTCACTTTTAAAGGACTTTCCCTAAGTGCTCCTCCAGCCCGGGCTGCTGTAAAGCATCTGCTAATTACCCACACTGTGGAAGAGAACTGGTAGACAATTGGTGGACGGGCGGCCGAGGGGGAGCAGTCCCTCTGGTAGCTCCTCCTGGGTGGCAGACTTTGGGTGTCACTCATTTAACTTAAGCTCCTTAAGCTTTGTAATTGGCCATGGGCCACATGCCCCGTTTTGGAGCTGGGACTCGCAGCTGGTGCCGGGAGTCCAGTCACCGGTTAGTGAGTGTGCCTAGCCTGCCCCCAGCCACAGGCCTGCCACATAGTGCGACCAGAGACTTCTCTTCACCCTGCATGCAAGGTTTCTCATTAAGGAAGCATCTGGGAAATGGGGAAAATCATACACCACCGTACGGTTCCGGGATTTCTGAGCTTGCTCTATTCCCAGAGTGCATCTTTTGCAAATATATCACATGCTCCAATTTCGTGGAGAAGCACACTGAATCATAGAGAGGTTAACAGAGTCTCAAAGAGTGTTACTCTTTGGGCAGAAATGAAAATTAGATACAAATGGAAGCAGTCCTTCAGCAGGTTCCCCTGTAGATTCTCAGCAATATGTCAAACTGTGTCTCCAAGAAGGACCATAGTCCCTGTGTCCACGCACCATTCAGTGGAGTGTTCTTGTTGTGGCAGGGGAGGCAAGAGGGGGCTGTGGTCCCCAGTGTGGGTGACCTGACCTGCTTTCCAAGGGGAGCATATTTGACTTTTCCAAAGAGGCAAAGTGTCCCTCAGCCAACTTTCAAAAGACCGTGAAACCCATATATAATGTTCATTCCCAAGGAAATGGCCTTGACTATCCAGAAATCTAATGGCAAACATAACTACTTTTAGCAGGGTTCAGTTGAAGCGGTTTTCATAGCATCATAAAGCCTCAGAGGTAGAGGGTGCTTAGGGAACAGTTCCTTCGACCCTCATTCTACAGTGGGGACACAGAGGACCTGGCGGCCCATGGCTACAAAGCTTTCCTGACACTCACTTTCAGGGGACTACAGTACTCGGGGCATTGTCCTCAATCTGAAACCACAATCAAGCTTCAGTCTTTTCATCATGCAGGAGCCTCACCTTCTAGCTCAGTGTTCTGCATATGTGTGCATACATGTGTATCATGTATACATGTATGTGCATATTGGGGGTGTGCATGTACATGTATGTTCCTTCTGAGTTCTCTCTGGCTTCTGCTGCCCTCCGGATGTGAAAGCATAATCCCAGTAGACAGGATGCAGTCAGATGAGCCCCACGTTGCCTGGAGGGCCCTAGTTCAGCCCTTTGGACTCCAGGTGAGGAAGAACCAGGCAGCTCTAGAAACACTCCTGTGAGCTGGCTGGAGAGAGTGGGGGGGGGTGCGCCCTACCCAGCCTTCATGAGGGTGCATGGGTCAGTTAGATCCATAAGGAGAATCTCCACTGGTTTTATTTCAGGTTAGAGTCCTGCTCCAGATTGCTTTTATTCAGTGGGTTTCGCTCAGTGGGACAATAGGAGGGACAGATGAGTCTGAAGACCACCAGGCTGCCCTCTGTCATATTAGTCACCCTCTTGCCCACACTGTGACTTCCCCTCCTGACTATTCAAAACACAGCTCGCAACTTTCAGTATGCAGCAATGAAGCCTCCAGATCCCTAACTATGCACCTGGGAGTGGACACTAGGTCCTCCCCAGGCTGATGCTTCTCTTATCTGCACTGTGTTTCTTCTGACAAGTCCTGGAGCCGACAGCCTTTCTGCTCTGAGTTCTGTCCCATCTGCCCCATCAACACGCTGCATTGGGGAAGCTGAGAAAATGTCGGTCTCTAATAACCACTCATTGGATCAGGCAGGGTAGCCCTGTCCTTGCTCAGTGCCCTTTAATTAGGCTTCAGCTAAGGTGAGATTCAGGCACCCATGGGCTGAGCTGGCTGATGGAGAGGGAGCGAGCGTCTTGCCCCCCAGGTGTGGGAGCTTGACCTTTACCAAACATTGGACAGGTTATTCCTCCACCTCCTCCTCCTTCCTGCCTGCGCCCGGGCACTGACCAGCAGCCACGCACCGGCCACTTTCCCTCCATACTCGCTCACCGCCCAGCACACGGACCTTCCCTCCCAGGCCGCCACTCTCACAATCGCTCACAACCCCACACTCCACGTGTCTCATGTACACCCCTCCTCCTGCACTCATTTTTCACACACAACTCCTCAACGTCCTGTGTCTCACACACTTTCTCCCACATCCCATGTCACACACAATCTTTACACACACCTTCTACACGTCATGTCTTACGTTCTGTCTCCATACACACCTCCTTCCGCACTCCATGTTTTCCACACACACAGATACGCCCATACTTGTCCAGTCAGCCTTTTTTGAGCTCATGCATTGTTGTCATCTGCCTTTTTTGGTCCCATGTGAAAATGGCTTTTTATTACAACTAAAGTCACCAGATGCTTCTTAAGTTTAATTGTGGTGCGCAGGGGTCAGCCGAGAGGAGGAGGAAGCCAACCCGAGGAGCCCTGGACTGGGGACCATCCCACCCGGCGCCATGTCTGGTTTTTGGGCTGCCTCAGCCCTCTCCAGAGACAGAGCAGGCATCTACTCACTAAAGGTGTTTGGGGACACAGGGCATCATGTCTGTCCAGTGCACCACCTTTGCCTCCTTCATACCTCTAGGAAGTCCCAAAGCAACACCCCGAATTGATGGCCTCAGATTGGGGCACCTCCTGACTTTGCTGTTCTGAGTGGTGTCAGATAATAGCTCATAGAAAGGAGAGAGGCCCAGAAATTCTTGGGTGGCTGCAGGAGAAGTTCGTAGCCTTCCCAGGCATCGTTGGTGGCTGTGCAGAAGAGAGGCCCCAGTTTGGCTGTTCGCTGAGCACGTCCGTGTGCCACGCTGACCCCACCCAACCACAGGGCTGGGTTGATGCCATGCCAAAGGGTTGGCTACGTGTGCCAGAAACCCCCTGTGACGGGACATGTATTGCTGTCTACTGACAGCCATCAAAGGGTGTAAGCAGGAGCATCACGGGGCCAGTTTTTTGAAGTGAAAATGTGTGTGCTTTCTAGAAAGAGGAGACAGCTGGTGTCTCCCCGCTGTCTTCACACCAGTGGCTCCAGGCGGAGCAGGTCCCATCGCCAGCCTCCTGGCCTGCTCTGCAAGCGTGTCCCAACTCCTCCTCTCTGCTCTCTCTGCAGGACTTCGGGAAGTGCCCGCGACTGAGGCTGTTTACTCAGGAGTACATCCTTGCCTTGAACGAGCTCAATGCGGGGATGGAAGTGGTGAAGAAGTTCATTCAGAGGTGGGTCTCCGGCTGACACCCTCCCACCCCAGCCCTTGAGCCAGCTTTCCTTCTCTCCCAGAACCACGCACTCCCCAGATGCCCCGAGAGGCGCCACCGGTGTTCAGAGGTTGCGAGCGTCTCTTCCTCTGCGTGGGTCTCCTGGAGCCTCCTGACCACGTGTGGTCTGAGGCACTTACGTGCTGTGTGAGGTTGAGCCAGTCGGGTGCCGTACCTCTGGTCCTGTTTCCTCCACACAGGGGTTGTTGTGTGATTACGTAAGGTGGCAGTTGAGGAAGCCCCTGGCATGATACCTGGCTCAGCAGGAGCTCAGGAAATGCTAACAGTCCTGAGTAATGTGAGCACAGCCTTGGGCTGTGGACGCCAGGTGTGCAGGAAGCAAGCCCCTGTGGTCCCAGGCAGTCCCCACTGGGGACTTTAACAGCTGTCTTTCAAACGGGGCCAAAAGGAAGCCAAATGTTCTGGTTCTTACTCCCTTCTGGTGTTTGGGTAGCGGAGTCAGTTTTGCTTTGATTTTTAAATGTTTTTCTCTGTGCCCTGGTTTCCTCATCTGTAAATGAGAATCGTAATACCCACTCCATCCAGCTAATGTGAGGGATTCAGCAATCTGACACACAGAAACGCTAAGAATTTTGCACAAATGTGATGGGAGCACCAGTGCTCATTGTCATGACTCTTCTTCTCTGTAAAGAAAATCAAAATAGCCTGGCTACGCCCGTTCTGAGGCTACGTGCCTCCCGCACAAACTCACCTGCAGCTCACCAAGCATTTCCGAACCCCGATGGTGTGCCCTTCCACCAGAGTCCAGGGGGCTCAGGGCCCCTTTCAAGCATCCAGTTAAAGTTTATAAAATTCTTTAGGTCAGGCCTTGCTCAGTCCCAGTGGCCACAGTAGCTTTTCCAGGAATGTTACAGGTATTATCCCGAGGCCCCACACTGCCCCATTTTGCAGATAGGAAAGCTGAGGCAACTGTGATTAACAACAATAACTGTGCATACGGGGGCCTTAGCAACTGTGTTCCAGGCCCCATGCTAGGTCAGCGGGACTGTAATAATTTTCTTTCCAAAGCAGGGCACTTATGAGAGTAAAATGAGGTGTTAACAGTAATGATTTCAGAACTGCCAGCTATAAATGTGACTGTCCCAGGCCACGTGGCCATTATATGCTAAGTCTTCCCATAAATTAGAAAATCAGATGTTTACTGTTACCCATTAACGAGGGGCCATTGTCCCCATTTTATAACCAAGTAAACTGAGAGTGGAGTATTTTGGCAGTGTGCCACGGCTGCTCGGCTGGACTTAGACCCGGGTACCCAGGACCCGGAACTTGGTTCTGTGTTGCCTGCACAGGGCGGGGCTAGGACCCAAATCTCGGTGTTGCTGCCTCCCCACAAAAGGCTCAGAGTGCTCCCCCAGTGACCTCCTCAAGCTGTGTCCCAGCCTCCCCCCACCTCCCTGCTGAGGGTGCCATCCTGCAGCTGCCTCACCCTGCCCTCTGCTCTTTTCCAGCATGCACGGCCCCACAGGGCACTGCCCTCACCCCCGGGTCCTGCCCAACCTGGTGGCCGTGTGCCTGGCTGCCATCTATTCCTGCTATGAAGAGTTCATCAACAGGTCAGTCGCCACCACCACCAGGAGGGACTGGGTGGGAGCACGCTGCCACCCCAGGGTAGGGACAGTGAGAGGCCGACTCAGCAAGCACGGGAGGTGGAGCAGCCTCCACCAGGCCGGCCTCCAGTGTGTTAGCCACACACCGTGCGCTCACTGAGTCCAGGGCCCAGAACCCAGGCATGTCACTGGAAAAGCAGACACTGAATCAGCCCTGGCAGCTGCACGGCCGTGGTGCCGACCTGGCTTCAGGAGCAAGAGTTTTATTGCAAAGATTTCTCACCACCCGACACATGTGACACATTGGGGCCTGGGTGTGTGTGCATGCATGTATGAGGGAATGTGCACACATGTGGGTGTGCACATGGGGTGTTGTGTGCGTGTGAGTGCACGTGTAGGTGTGTGTGTTGCCCACATGTGTGAGTGTACAAGCGTCCCTTCAGCGGTGGCTGTAAGGTTTGCTCCCTCTTCGCCTGTCTTTGTAAACACAGAAATGGATTTTGCCTGTGTATATCTTGAGGGCCCACTGTGTGCCAGGCACAGCTGTCGGCACTGCAGGTGAAAGAGAGCAGATTCCCCCTCGGAGCTCGTCCTCTGCCGGGGGAGATGACATACAAGTAAATGTGCAGGGTCATGTCAGATGGTGGGCAGTTCTGTGAAAACAATCAAATGCAGCCATGACTGGAAAACATGCACAGCAGGATCACTGCCTTGGTCTCCCCAGGGCTTGGGGACAAACCTTACTAGGGAAGTGAGCCCAGAAAGCACCGGGGAAGAGGACAGATGATAGGAACTGGAGCCTGTGTTCGTTAGCGGTGACCACCTCCATCCCCTGTGCACCCCCACTGGCCGTCCTGGGAGACCGCATGGAGCACGTCTCAGTTGTTCCTCCGAGGGATGGTGACGCTGGGTGGTTACTTACTTGTTCCCATTCTGCCTTAATTGAGGATTGCTCCAGGGATGGAGTGACGCAGATGCCACTAGTTTGCGTAGAACTTTCGACAGTGACCTCTGGGGTCTCTGGGGAGGATACGCTGTGCAGGGCAGAGACGGGATCGGCTGCAGCTGCCCAGCCCGTCATTCAGGTGGCGCACTGCACAGCTCCAGGGGGCCCACTGGAGCTGGGGATGCAGCGGGAGTATATCGCAGACCTTAAAGAAAAGGCAGCGGCACATTCTGAGTCGCTGAAAACCTGTACAGATGGGGCTTCTAAAACAAACACTGTACTTCGAGGTCTTGGGGAAAGGACCACAAATGAACCTTAATAAGGGGCTATTTTCTTATGACGGCTTGAGAAGGGAGGATGGCCATTTTTAATGTCCTCAGCCCTAGGCCCTGCTATTCAAAGGGACTATGTCCATCTCGAATCATTTCCCTGTTCAGAAAGAGGTGACAGTATCCTTGAGACCAGAATATGCAGATGCCATGCTGATCATTCCCAAGTGCCCGTGAGAGACCCTGTAACATATTATATTTCAGTAAAAAAGAAGGTGAGAGCGTAGTGCACGGCCTGTATAGTCATCCCAGCATCCCTGTGTACACCGATGGTCACTTGCCCTTGGCCTCATACACTCTAGCTCAAGAGCTGGCCAAGCTGGTGTGCACGCATTTCAAACTCAGGCCACCCCAGGAGGCAGGAAGAGCAAGAGGAGGACACACACAAACACACACATATTCTCAGGCTCCTTTTCCTTCTGAAGCCTCTGGCTCAGCCCAGCCTGCTTGGGCCCTCTCCCTGGATACTGAGCTGGGACTCGGCAGCGGGCCGGGGCCAGAGCAGGAAACCGCACATCGAAGTTTTCCCTTTGCGTCTCCACAGCCCTGCCAGGGTGCCCCAGAGCAGGGTTTCCCTGACATAGGAGCAGGAAGCAGAAAGACAGGATGCTGGAGATCTCCCTCCCAGTGCCCATCCCAGGGGAAGGGCCGGGGAAGGAACCAGGATGAGGGAACATACGCACTGGTGCAGTTCGGGGACTGGGGACGGTAGGAGCCAGCGTGCCCCCTCCTCTCACTCACTCAGTACTCGATTGGCGAGGGCCCATTAAGTGCCAGGTGTTGAAGTGCAAGTGAGCCCGCGGATGGGACCCCTGTGCTCCCAGAGCAGATGGTGTAGTGGTGGGTGGAGGGGTGGGTGGGGCAAGAGTGAGCAGGCGGTTACTGTACAGTCTGGTCAGGGCCGTGGTGACAGAAGCCAGAGGCCTCGTTAACATGGTCTCCGGCAGGGAGTCTGAGCCCTGGCTGCACGTGAGTCACCTGGGGAAGCTTTACAAAATCAGAGCGTAAAACTGAGCATACATCTACTCTATGATCCAACTCCTCATAGCTTTTGGTATATTCATCAGAAGATATGTACAGGGATGTTTATTGCTGCATTAGTTCTAATAGTCCAAAACTGAAATCTGCCTCAACGCCAATGTCCTACGACAGGAGAATGGATAAATAAGTTATGATCTCTCAAAAGCCATACTGTGTATAGCAGCAGAAATGAATGAACTCATGCAGCCATCCCACAGACATAATAGTAGGTAAAAGAAGTCAGACCCAAAAGATACGTAGTGTGATTCTTTTTCTTTCAAGTTCAAGAACATGCAAAATGAATCTGTGAAGATAGAGGCCAGAATAGTGGCCACCTTTAGGGTGGGTAGTTAGATGGAAAAGCATGAGAGAAGCTTCTGGGCTTCTGGAAATGTTTCACATCTTGATCGGGGCCAGTGGTTCTCAACTGCGGGCAATTTTTACCTCCAGGGTATGTTGGGCAATGTCTGGAGACATTTTGGGTTGCCACCACTTGAGCAAAAGGAGGGGTGCTGCTGGCATCCAGCAGGTGGAAGTCAAGGACACTGCTGAACATGCCACCAGGTGCAGGACAGCCCCCCACAGAGAATTACCAGAATTTTCTGGCCCAAAATGGCAGTGGTGCCAAGGTGGAGGAATCCTGATCTGGTGGGTGGTTATTAGATGGGAATGTGTAAGAACTCACAAAGCTCTGCACCTACAATTCACGCATTTGACTGTTCTGTGTTTCAGTTATGCCCATGTATGCTGGAGCCCTGTTCCACTTGGGAGCACACCTCTTCCCAATTCCACAGTCAGTGGTGGCACATTGGTGGCTTGAATTTGGTCATCATAGGAGTATTTACACCAAGGAAATTGGCCAACACTACAGAAGCCAAGGCAGTTGGCTTTATTTTTCAGCATACTGCTGGTTATATCTCCAAGCATAGTAGAAAAAGTGATGCCACGGCCCCACCTACTGCGTTCTGATTGGATTGATGGCCCTTGCATTGGATTGTTCTGTTTTATTTTAATTCCCCAGACAAGTCAAGTTTGTGGCCAGAGTTGAGAACCCCTTCTCTCAGGGGAAGTGAGGAAGGGGTCCTTCAGGGAGGTGATATTTAAGTTGAGACCTTCTAGCTGTCAACAAGGGAAGAGCCAGGATGAGGTGATCCAGGCAGAGAGAACAGAAGGGACAAAGGCCTGGCAGGGCAGGTGGAGTTGCCGTTAGTCACATTTTTCTACCTGCGGTCCTTAAACACTTGCTTCAGGATCCCCCGAACTACTTCTTTAAAAAGAAGCCCAGGAATCTGCTTTCTGGGCAAGCTCCTCTGGTGATCTGCTCCATCCTAAGGATGAAGGGCCATAGCAGGGGAGGAAGTGACTACAGCAAAGAGAGGGGGAAAGTAGCAAAAGGTGATGCTGGAGAAGAGGGCTGGCCATGGACAGACTTGTACTGCTGAGCTTCTCCCACTTGCTCTGCTGAGCTGCTGCTGGGAGTGCGTGTTAAATGCAGGTTCAGGTTCAGCAGGTCTGGGGCAGGGCCTGAGACTGCTTGTCTCACAGGCTCCCAGTGGTGCAAATGCTGCTGGTCAGGGACCACACTACTTTCAGTGCAGAACTCTGCCGAGGTTTTACTTGTGGAGTTTTCATTCTGAGAGTGTTGGGTTTTAAGGGTGGAAGGGACTTGACAAGATACCAGTTTCCAAATTCCTGTCTGGCAGCAGCTGCACAGGGGATGGACTAGAGGGGGCAAGCATGATCTGGGGGGAATTGTAAGCCACTGTGGTTGTAACCAGGTGCCCCAGGTGGAGGCACAGAGAGGTTGAGGCAGACCTTGCTGCTTCCTGCACAGACCCGCTCGGAGCCCATGGTAGTTTGAGTTCCAAGTGATGCCATCAGTTCCTCCAGGAAATCACCCAAGGACCACGGTCTTGCGAGACCTTTCCCAGGCTCAGGTTCGCCCAGCTCTGTAGGGCAGTCCCTGGAAGAGAAAGCCCGTGTTGTCCTCGGGGCCCATCCACGGTGCTCTCTGTGGCACACAATGTACTTGCACACAAAGAGCAGACAGCTTGACCCAGGTTAGCATGGCTCACTGGAAAATCACCCGCTCTGAGCCAAACAGCCTTGAAAATCCACTCCTAAATCCCAGCAAAGGCAAACAAAGGGAAATGGAGTGTTGAGCATTTCAGCAGCAAATTAGCTCCGAACCCATAGCCCTCCCCCTACGGACCACACACACAATTTTCCATCAACCATAGAATTTTCGGACTTTGGCCCATGGCTTTTGTTTTTCCCCAGCAAAGTTTCAAGTGTATTTATCAAACATCCTTGGTGGGCTCAGCTCAGGCCTGCTTTGTAGTGCATGCTTGATAAATTCAGGCCCTGTGTGTTGGGTCCTACTTCTGTGCTCAGTCCATCCTTGTGCATAGGGAGGACATGCATCTTTGGAAGCACACACATGTGGCACATTTAGGGAGAGACTGCCAGCTGTTTGTGATCATATCATTGTGTTCCGAGTCTCTTGGAGCAGTGGGCTCAACCTTGACCGCATGCACAGGGTGTCTAGACCCCAACCAGAGATTTCACTCTAATTGAGCTTCAGGATGTTGAGACATGCCACAAGGGACACTGGTGTCCAGCCAGGGATGGAAAGCTCTGGTTCAGAGGCAGGGTAAGGGTGGCAGGGAGGAGGACTTACATATGGGATCTTGGAAGCCACAGTGGTGGTGAGGAGCCTGGCCTTTGTAGTCAGAGACCTCGTATGAAATCCCAGGCCCTTCCGCTTAACAAGCCCTATGATCAAATAGGTCATTTGACTTCTGGGCACTTCTTTCTTCACCCAAAACATGGAAATGGTAATACTGCCATTCAGGGATACCCGAGAAGTCTGTGTAATAGCACTCAGCACTGTGCCAGCCCTGGGGTACCAATGAGGGAAACCCACTGCTAGAGGTACCTTCGGTCACATGTGCCTCCAGGTGGTGTTTGGAAGTGCCCAGTGAGGAGGCACTTTATCCAGCCTCAAGGCACTAATGTCATGGTGTCCCAGCCCAGCATTTCCCAAACAAATGTGACATCAGTGAGTGATGCATAGAGCCCTTTGCATCACTGTTAGCACCCTGCACAGTCATCATTCCTTCAGGTGGTTGCAGGTGCAGTACAGCGGGGGATGCTGCTGCAGAGAGGAGAGACCTGCATGTTCCAGGAGTTTGGGGTGCTGGGGTTCGGGATCCCCTTGAAGTGGATTCCCAGGTGGAGAGTGGAGGCTGAGCCCTCGCACCTGGTGGGGATGGGGCAGTAGAGGTGGGGCCTGGGCCTTGCCCTGAAGGACATAATGCTTCAGGAGGAGAAGGGGGACACTTAGACTATAGAAAGAAACCAGAAGCAAAATTGTTTAGTTACAGGGGTGTCCAACCTGCAGCCCACAGGCTACATGCAGCCCAGGGTGACTGTGAATACGGCCCAACACAAAATCGTAAATTTACTTAAAACATTACGAGATTCTTTTGTGATTACATGTCGCAATGTATTTAATGTGTGGCCCAAGACAGTTCCTCTTCTTCCAGTGTGGCCCAGAGACGCCAAAAGGTTGGACACCCCTGGACCACAGGTCTCAGAGGTGCGTCAGGAAGGTGTCCAGGGAAGACATCTTGGTGGAGGTACCTCATAGAGGTTAACATTCACTCATCCATTCAACAAATATGTGTTGAGTACCTACTATGTACAGGGACTACAACATGTGCTTTAGGCACAGACAGCTGGGTTTGGGTGCCATTTCCACCCCTCCCTGTCTTGAGACCGTGAACAAGGCACTTTCCCAGACTGAGCCTCAGTTTCCTCACTTGCGGACTGGGAACCAAGGGCACCAGCTTGTAGCATATGCCATGGAGGTTCAGGGAGGCATTCAGCATGGTGGAGCCTGGCTTATCGGAAGCGCTCACTGGGCCTCGTAGCTCACAGCTGCAAGGACTTCAGGGCGGCATGCCACCCCCTGCACTCACACACCCCTCTGCCTCTTCCACCAGCCGTGACAACTCCCCAAGCCTGAAGGAGATCCGGAACGGCTGCCAGCAGCCCTGCGACCGGAAGCCCACCTTACCTCTGCGCCTTCTGCACCCCAGCCCGGACCTGGTGTCTCAGGAAGCCACGCTGTCCGAGGCGCGGCTCAAATCGGTGGTCGTGGCCTCCAGCGAGATCCACGTGGAGGTGGAGCACACCAGCACTGCCAAGCCGGCGCTGACGGCCAGCGCGGGCAACGACAGCGAGCCCAACCTCATCGACTGCCTCATGGTCAGCCCTGCCTGCAGCACCATGAGCATCGAGCTGGGCCCCCAGGCTGACCGCACGCTCGGCTGCTACGTGGAAATCCTCAAGCTGCTGTGAGTGTCCCTTCTACGTGCCTGTCCCCAGCGGGGCGTGGGAGGGCCTTGCCTTTGCTGTCCATATTCGCCAGTTTGAGGCGTGCAAGGGTGGACATGCTGAGTGTGCACATTTGAGTTGGGATGTGGGAGCATGTGAGTATGGGTTCAGAGATGCAAGGTGTGAAGGCACACGTTTTGGGCATGCGTACATGTATGCTGCAGTGCCTGGGCACATGTATAGGTATGTACAGGAGCACCCATGTGTGTATAAGCTTGAGAGTGTGTGTGTGCATGAGCACACGAGTACCCAAGGGTGTCTGTGAGTCTGTGAACCTTAGCGCGTTGTGTGGGGTGTGGGCTCATTCTGAGTTTATGAGTGTTGTTATATGTGTGAATGGCCATGAGTATGTGGTGTGACAGTACATGTGTGCCTGAGCATGTGTATGTGTGTAAGTGTACAAGTGTGGACATATGAACACTGTGCTGCTTTCGTGCATGAGTGGCTGTGAGTGCACACATGTGAATACGAGCATTTATACATGACAGTCGGAGTATGTGTGTGTGTGTGTGTTTCTGTGTTTGTGTCAGGTATGCCTGTGTACCAGCATGTGAGTGTTTGTGTCGTGCAGTCTGTGCATGTTGTATGTGCTCAGTGCGGGTGTCCATAAAGGGAGTGCCTTTTTTGGGAAGTGGCCCCATGGGTTGATGTGAGGACCAGGCCCCCTGACTCTTCCTCGTGAGCTCTCTGACGGAAGTGCATGTGGGTCAGGCTGTGCAGCTCTGGCTGCTGGGAAACGGTCTGAGTGAGGAGCCAGGAGGCCGGGTCTGAGCTGGGTGCTTTGGGCCTGTCTCTGTGCCTCAGTTTTGTAACTCTAGAATGGGGGGTGGTATTAATCTTTGATCCCCCAAGAGTCTTTCCAGTTCCTCCATTCACACTCAGGCCACTCAGACTCATCCCAAATTCACACACCTGGTTCCCCGAGCCCCCGGTGGAGGACCTGGGCTGAGCTCTGTGGTCCCGCGGACCAGCTTGGTCTGGGGAACCCCACAAATACCTTCCCCAATCACTCCCACAAGTCCTGTCCTTCAGAACAAGAGCTCAGCCCTGCTCTCAGGACCTGGTCCAGAGGTTGGCACTGCCAGGTGCGGTCATTGGTGGGGGGTGGGCTTTTCAGAGGCACTGGGGGATGGGATGACAGTGTGGTCACATCCAACTGACTTATGGTCCCTCTCTGAAGCCAGGGCCCCTGGATGCAGTGGGAGGCCTGGCTCCGGGGGCTCGTCAGCGTTGCCAGGGTTTTGCTGAGTCTCCAAGGCTGTCGTACACCCTGCAACGCTGGTTCTGCCTCTTTCATCAGCGTGTTGCTGCCTGCAGTGGGCTCAGCATCCAGAGGGGCGGAGGCAACCTGCCAGTGGCTGGTGAGCTGGTGAATAAGTCTGGGAGACGCCTCAGGGTGCCCCCGTGCCTTAAAGCAGGGCTTGTGGTGTCTGTGAAGATGAACACACACGTGCACACACCCACACACATCACGCAGTGGCTTCTTGTGCTTTGAAAGGAGAGTGTGGATGCAGCATCCTCAGACACTCCCTCTGCCCCGTTCAGGCCCTGAGAGGAGAGTGAGGCCTCCTAGGAGGTTGGTTCCAGCCTCGCCCATGCTTCTAGCAGCAGAGGCCAGCTGAGGGCACAACTGCATGTAATGACAGCCCACCCCACCCTACCTCACCCCCTCACAGTTGCCAAAGGAAATTCCAAATTATGCTCTGAGAGCTTCTCCTAGAACACGCCTCAGTCCCGTCAAGGCACGGGGGAGGCCCCAGTTTCTCCCAGGGGTAGGTTGTCAGTCATGGCCCTTGTGTCCTCCCCGCCCTGGCTGAAGCAGGGCCCACCAGGCCAGAGACGGCCCTGCTCTCTCCCTCGGCCCCTGACTCTGGCTGTTTTCTGCAGACACCTGGAACTCCCAGGCCCCCTGCCGGCTTGGGCCCTGGCTCAGATTTCTCATTAAACACTAAGGGTTTGAGTTTCATCATGCAGTTCACACACATTTTTTTTTCCTTCTTCATAAACATGCTCATGAATGAGGACTCTGTTCTTCCTGATCTGCTTCCAGACCTCCTGCCTGCCCGCATCACCCAGCTGCCAGGGTGCGGGTAGGGGTCAGGGGCCCAGTCAGGGGCCACCCGCTGGGAGCCAGAGGTGTTCTGATGGATGTGCAAAGCTCAGAACACAGTCTGGGCCTGGTAACTCCTTTTCCTAGCAACTTTCCTTCTCCAACTCTGCTGCCTGCTTGAGTCACTGGTCCATTGGGAGGCCTGAGACATGTTGGGTCCCTAGCAGCTCAAAGTATTCCAACACATGATATGTCGGGGAAAAGCACAGGTTTGGAGCCAGACTGCAGGGTTCAAAGGCCACAGATATATCGGTATTGGCCTGTGACCTTGGGTGACTTACTTGTCTTTTCTAAGTCATAGCTGCCTCCGGGCATTAGAGTGGGGTGGCGGGCATGGCTCTGGGCACCTGGCAGGTGTAGACACCGGGCAAATGGGAGTTACTGCGCTTCCTGAGTACAGCTGTTTCCTCTATTTTAAGACACCTTTGAGAGTAAGATGCTTTTTTTGACTTAATACTAATACTTGAGAGGAAATCAAAGACAAATATATTCAAAGCACACTCAGGTCTAGGTGGCAAGAAGCATGCATCGGGGAACATGGGGAATGCAACTGTAGGACATTTGCCGTGTAAGTGCCGGAGGCAGAATTCTTGGCTCCTGTCGCCCTCAGTTTTCTTGTCTGTAAAATGGGTATTGTTCTCAGGGGGCTGGTGTGGGAATTTAATGACATGGGGCCTTTCCAGGCTGACCCAGTGCTGGTTCTTAGTAAGAGTGGACTGCTGTTATCAGTAGGGGTGCTGCCTAAATGAGTTACGTGTGAAGAATGCAAGAGCAGAGGCTCTAATGTGGCATTGAGGGGTCTTAAGAGGACATTTTGCGGGGGCAGAGGAGGCCAGGCTTAGCACCCTGGCCCAGCTTGCCAACCCTGTGCATCGGAGCGGGCCCCGCTGGTCCCCCAGCGTGAGCATCACGGCTCTCTCTGCAGCCGGGGCCCTGAGACGCCCAGGCCCCTAGTTACCGTCATTACAATTTCACACCTCGGAGAAGGACCGCAAGCCTCTGAAAGTTCCCTGGAGACCCTGAAAAGGGAAAGCTATTCCCAATGCAGGCCAGGTTGCTGCTGAAAGCATCGCCTTGTGAGGCCCAGGCTGGCTGGTCTGACGGAAAGAACCTGGACGTGGGAGCTGGACAGAGCAGACTTGGGCCTGTGGTAGTTTGGAGGCCAGCTCTTAGTCTGCCGGGCACCTGCATGTGACCCATGTACTTATCTACCCGTCTACTTCTGCATTCCTTTATCGAGCATTCGCTGCACTGCTTGGTGGGACCAGGCTCTCTGCCAGGTGCCAGGGTCCCCACTGATCTCCTGCTTTCAGTCCCTCTGAACCTGGGAGCACCAACTGCTGAGGGCAGTGGCCTCACCTGCCCAGTGGGATGGACTGTGGGAAGCCACTGGCCACAGGTGAGGCCACAGGTAAGGGGATGCTCTTCTGTCTGGGGAGAGAAAAAAGCAGCTTCTGTGAGGAAGACGTGAGCATATCTACTCAATCTGATCAACTTGAATCTGGCTACTTGGTATTTTTGCAAAGACCCGGATTTTAAAAGAGGCTTGATGGGCTGGAGGTCAGTTGGAAGACGCCCCAGCCGTCGGGGGCTGTTGGGGGAAACTCAGATGGAAGTGGGTTTGTCCTAATGACCGGGCGGTGGAACTAGAATGCAGAAGACAGGCACCAGGAAGGACATGGGAGACGTGGTAGTCACCCGGCACAGTCCTACCGTCCTGTGGAAGGACCGCCCCAGCCAGATGCCACAGCCCCGCTGACAAGAAACACCAGGAGTTTGGTGCAGGGAAGGGGGACTGATTGGGAGCTCGGGAATCCTGTCTGTGACCTGTATCAGGAGTCCAGACCTCTCTGGACTTATCTGTAAATGGGGGTTCTGGAGCTACCCTGGCCCCGTAAATGGAATGCTCAAGGCACTTCACCTGCTCTCCCTTTCCTGGCTGAGCCCAGGGAAGGCCTGGCTGTCTTGTTTCCTTCCTGGGGGTGGGTGGTGAGGCCGCCCATAGCCAGGCCTGCCTGGCTCACCAACCCTGAGGCTGGCACTGCTCTCCAGAGGCTCATGGCAGGTGCTCTGCTGGCCATGGGGTTCCCTCGCCCTGTCCCTTGGGCGTGGCCAGCTGGCCAGTCCCCAGGCACCTAGCCTCCCACCCTCTGCCCAACACACCCTCTGCGCATGCTCAAACTGGTCAGACTGGGCGTTTGGAGCAGGGCCAGGAGCCAGCCGCAGATTTGGAGCTGCGCTGGGCGGAGGCGAAGAGGAAGTCTGTCTCACTCTTCCTTTCTTCGCCCCACGGCCCCTTTCTTGGTCCTGTGTGAGCCACCATAATGGAGCTGACAGGCGGCCAAGCTCCAGGCTGGAGAGACGTGGGAGGGAGAGGGCTTCCACCCGGACCCCTGCCCTGGACTCAGCCTCAGCCCCCGACTGAGCTTAGCACCTGGGGACACAGAACAGGCTTGTCGACATCCCTCCCCACTCAGCAGTGTGAACCCTGGGCCAGGCCCGTCACTGCCCTGGATGGAGCCCAGTGTGCCCACCCACTGGGCACAACATCCCTCTGATTGTGGGCGATTTGAAGTCTCCTTAGGGCTTTCTTCATTAATGGCATTTTTACAAGTAACATTATTTATTATTTTAAGGCAAAAGAAAGAGTAGTAAAGTGCCCTTTTTGATAAAGGGAAAGGCCTTTGCTCACAGGTGGATGCAGGAGACACGAGGTATCACGTAGTTCAGTGGATGGGATCGCAGGTGCAGGAGCCAGGCTCTCGGGCGTGGGCCAGCGTGTTCTCCTCTGTAGATGGGGACGCATTTCCAGGAGGAGCACCTGGGCCAGTCCACCTGTGTTCGTGGAATAGGACAGGCACTGTCCAGAATGTTTGCTGTTACTTGCAGGTCTCCTGGAAACCAGGAGTCGGAGTCAGTGGCAGGTGGGGATGTGAGAGGGGAGGGACTTGGGAAGGGAGACCGACCAGCTGCAGACATATATGACCCCCTCCCCGCAGAAAGCATATAGGTATTGGGTCAAAAAGAGTCTCTGTGTCCCCATGTGCATCCCACAGGCCTCTGAGCACCCTGTGCCCAGCCACCCATGGTGGGCATAGAGCATGTGCCCAGCCTTGGGCACTGGGGCCCACAGAATCCTTGCTCCGAGTCTCCTAGCTGCCTGCTCTCATGGGTCACTGAGGTGCTCGGAGCCACGCTCTCTCACCTGTAAAGTGGGTGTGATTCTCTCTTTTCCTTTAGTGGCTGTTTTGAGGATTAAGCAAGCAAGTTCATGCCCAGCACACAGCCTAGTAAGTGCTTAGTACACCTCCGCCAGTAGCTCTGTGGAGCTTAGCTCAGGCCACCAGGCTTTTCTGGGAATTCTCTTCTGCATGTCCGGCATTGGAGTCTTTCTTCAGAACCTTCCAGGGTGTGAGCTGGATTCCGAAGGCTGCTGCTTTATCACCATGTATTTGGAGGAAGGTAGGGTAGAAAGCTCTCACCCAGGAGTTATCTGAGCTGTCCATTGTTGACAGAGGCGAATGTGGGTTCTGGGCGTGGAAAGATTCTGCCTACTCTTTGTTGGCCTAAAACACAGACGGACATATGGCACATCAACATGTGCAGTATGTTGGGAGAACAATTAGGTATGTCAAGAAAACTCCTTGGGCAGGGAGTGAAGAGCAGGGGGCTTAAGGGTACCAGATGATGAAAGGAAGCTTGAGAAACACTGAATTCTAAACATGAAGGGATTCTGGGGCCACGGGACCGAGAATCAGGAGTGTGGGTGGGCCTGGGGGTGTGTGCACACTCAGGGCCCGGGGAAGGCCTGTCTGGCCTCAGGCGGAGGCGCCCCATGTGGTCTCTCCCGTTTCCTGACCCTCCTGGCTTCTCGGGGCTGCCAGCAGGAGGCGTCGCTTCTTTACGAAGCTGCGATGGTGGGAGCGGGGAGCAGCCCTGCTGACTCCACAGCAGCCTCCAGAAGCTGGTGCTGCCCTCCCTGGGACCTTCTAGTGGCACAGCTCTGGTCACCCTGGCCACTTACTTAACCACGTCTCGCCTGTCAAGGGACTCCTGTCTGCCGTGGGGCCGATTCCGTGAGCTAGCAGGTCCCAGCACACAGTGGGTGCTCAGCAAATCGCAGCTGGTTCCTCATGAGCCGTTGCTGTGTTGGCCTCGGTTTCCTCATCTGTGAAGTGAGGCCACTCCTATAATCATACTCTGTAATGATACTATATTAATCATATAAATATGGAATAATCATAATCTTCATTGTGAAGAGTAAATGAGCAGGGATAAAGCTCTTAGCATGATGCAGAGTGCATGTGCACCATGCTGACAAAACTGTAGCTGCTTGCTCTTATTTTTCCAGTAGTATTGTTATTACCATTGGTGTTACTACTGCCATTAGCAGTGATTGTAAAGGAAAGCTGTTGTCTGGACACAGAATACAGGTGTCCAGTAACTCAGAAGGATTGGCCCAAACTATTTTACAGAGGAGGAGCCTGTAATTTTTATTTTTTGCGAATCAATCAGTTCTGGTCACTGAGACATGAGAATGGCCTTGCGTTCCCAACCTGACCCCCTTAGTATTAGCCTGCTCGGGTTCCCATAGCAAAATGACATGGGCTTAGACAACAGAAGGGTATTTTCTGGACATGGAGCTGTGAAATCAGGTGCGGGCGGGGCTGGTTTCCACAGACTGTTCTCTTCGGCCCGTGGACGGCCGTATTCTCTCTGTGTTCGCACATGGTTGTCCCTTTGAGTGTGTCTGTGTCCTGATCTCCTCTTCGCAGAAGGGCGCCGGTCACAGCCGATCAGCCCGTACCCACGTGACCTCTTTTCTCCTTAATCACCTCTTCACAGGCCCTCTCCAAACCCAGTCCCATTGTGAGGCACCGGGGTATTAGGATTTCAGTATATGAATGTGGGGGGGTGGCCGACACATTTCAGCCCATAACAGCCCTGATGGTTCAAAGGATGGAAGGAACGGTGACCCCCATAGCCTGGGTCCAGAGGCTAGGAGGGGTGAAATTCTGGGAAGCCGGGTGCCAGCCCCTTCAGTTGCCACTCGGAAGTCTCGGGGCAGATTCTGCCTGTCAGGCCTCACGGCCGCACCGTCAGCATCAGCGACTTGTCCTCCCAGCTGCCTGGGCATGGAGATGGTTAGAGCAGAGCTGGTGCCGCATGAGTCTCTGACAGACTCTTGCCCCGTCTTCGGCCACCGTGACAGCCCGCTGCGCACCACTCCTTGTCCGGACCAGCCTGACGTCCCCTTCTCTTTCTAGGTCGGACTACGATGACTGGAGACCGTCTCTGGCCAGCTTGCTTCAACCCATTCCATTCCCCAAAGAGTAAGTCCCACCTGTGCTTCTGACCTGTGAGAAAACCTCAGTCACCCAAGTCCTCAGCAGGGGACCAGCCACGCCACAGGATGCACCGGGAACCCCAGGGACGACGGCGGGAGGTGGAGATTGGTTCTCAGCTCTGGGACCCCTGGGGGGCACCCCCCTCTGAAAAATGGGGAAACCACCTCGTTGCATCCTTAGGGTCCACTGAGCTGAGAATGCAGGCAGAGCCATTAGTGGTTTTTATTACGTACCAGGTGGGGACAGAATACCTACCTCTGCTCTGCCCGAGGCTGCGATAAAAAAAAAAATGCATGTGGAACCACTCCATATGTCCTACAGTGTATGCTGAAAGCTGTCTTATTACGTCCATTATGATGATCATTAGCTCATGTTCCCCAGCGAGCTGGCCAGAAATGGGCCTTTTGTCTCTCTCTTGCCAGCCCTTACCCCAGTACTGAGTTCATCACAGCCAAACAGGGAGGAATCTGCCGGGTGGATAATGGCCTGAGGAGGTTTGTCTAAACCCAGCCCTAAAATGCCTCCAGGTCTCTATTTTAATCGATGTGAAGAAGCCAGGCCTCAGGAGGCAGCTGGGGCTCTCGCAGGAGCCCATTAACGAGCCCGTGTTTATGAAATGTGGCTCTCTGAGGGGGACATTACACTCAGTAATTGCCCCATTTGCTGGCTTGGCTGGTCCCTGGGGCCCCCAGGACCCGAGACCGGAGAAATCTGACTCCTGAGAGCTGCTGCCGTCTCCAAGGAGCGGTGGTGTCATTGGCTGCACCACAGCCCTGGGGACCCTTGACGGTGGGCCCATGATGCAATTCACTTGGAGGATCGTCTCTGAATGTCGCCCTGATGTGCAGCCTTAATTAGTGTGGCTGTACCTTAATTGTGGAACAATTAACGAACACACCTGGGTCCCTGGTGACCACGTGCAGGCACAGATGGTCACGCACATCCAGTTAGCGCTGCCTCTCCTGTTTACAGGTGAGGGCCCTGGGGTGGTTTGGGAGTGTGGCGGCTCAGTCCACTCACTCATCAAAGGAGGCCTTCGTTTTGCAGCTTCAAGTGGGGATAAAATGTCAGCGGTTTGTTCTCAGCTTCCTCTTCGTTCTTCAAGTCAGACACAAAGCCTAGCCACCCCCAGAGGAAGACCTCTGGGCCCTTGTGCTGTTTCAAAAGCACCCCACTAACGGCACTCTTCCCTTTGTGTTTGTTACAGAGCTCTCGCACACGAGAAGTTCACCAAGTGAGTATTTAGGCAACGCCCTCGTTACCTTCTTCCACTGCAGATGTCCTCTGTCCTGAGGTCATCCCCCTCGGCCAGCCCTCCTTCTGGCCGTTGCCTGTCCCGTGCATTCTGGGAGGCGGCGATGGCTCCTCTGGGAAGTTCTCCTGCCATACATGTCCAGGCCCGTCCGGGGGTTTCCTCATCCTGCCAGCTCAGCCGGCTCCCCTCCCCTCGGCCCCCTCTCCTGGTCCACCCAGGCCAGGCCCCGGGGAATGACTCTGTCCCCTCCCATCTCTTTCAGGGAACTGAAGTATGTGATTCAGAGGTTCGCTGAAGACCCACGACAAGAGGTGAGGCCTTTCTCCTCGAAGCCCACTGTCAGGGCTTCTGCAGGACCCATGTGGGCCTCTCTGTGGCTCTGCCAGGGCCTCCTGGTCACCCACGGTGTCCAAAACAGTTTACAAAGGCTCCTTGCCTTGTGCATAAACAGCCCCGCCCGAGCCTGGGCCTGGCCCATGATGTCAGTGTTTTACTGTAAACTCGGGCTCACCAGAGGTGGTTTCCCCTGGCTGGCAGCTTCTTGGATTCCAAGCCGAGTTGGGGCAGGCAGGCACAGGGTCTCTGCGGGCTCTGAGAGACACTGGACTCTCCGGGGTCTTGCTGTTCTGAGAACCAGCAAGGAAGAGTCTGAGGTGGGCTTTGTTTGCGAGCAGCGTGGTTGAGAGCCTCTCTAGGGGGTTCCGCTGTCCGGCAAACAGCTGTCAGCTGCTCCCCGTTGCGTCAGGGTAACTGTCACGTGCTCACCCTGTGTTGGGCATGCACGTCTCCTCATGTAACCCTCATGCATAACCCCGAGTAGGTTCTGGTTATCCCCATCGTACATGAGAATTCCCCTCCTTTCAGTTAAGAAAACTGAAGTTGACTTTCATCCCCAGGGTCACACAGCTGGTACATGGTGAGGCAGGATGTGAACCCAGGGAGTCTGGCTGTAGAGCCTCAGCAGTAACCAGCTCTGCTGCAGCAGGCACACTGGGCCAGGCAGGGCTGCGGAGAAAGCAGGATGCTGGCGCCACCCTGAGAAGCTCAGGCCCCCTCCTCTGTGCACATGGTTCCTGGTTGTGGGGTGGTCTCTTCCTCTGTGCACATGGTTCCTGGTTGTGGGGTGGTCTCTTCCTCTGTGCACATGGTTCCTGGTTGTGGGTGGTCTAGCTCCTCTGTGCACATGGTTCCTGGTTGTGGGTGGTCTCTTCTTCTGTGCACATGGTTCCTGGTCGTGGGGTGGTCTCTTCCTCTGTGCACATGGTTCCTGGATGTGGGTGGTCTCTTCTTCTGTGCACATGGTTCCTGGATGTGGGTGGTCTCTTCCTCTGTGCACATGGTTCCTGGTCATGGGGTGGTCTGTCTTCTCTGTGCACATGGTTCCTGGTCGTGGGGTGGTCTCTTCCTCTGTGCACATGGTTCCTGGATGTGGGGTGGTCTCTTCCTCTGTGCACATGGTTCCTGGATGTGGGGTGGTCTCTTTCTCTCTGCACATGGTTCCTGGATATGGGTGGTCTGTCTCCTCTATGCACATGGTTCCTGGATGTGGGGTGGTCTCTTTCTCTGTGCACATGGTTCCTGGATGTGGGGTGGTCTCTTTGTGCAAATGGTTGGTCTCTGGGGTGGTCTTTTCCTCTGTGCACATGGTTCCTGGATGTGGGTGGTCTGTCTCCTGTATGCACATGGGTTCTGGGATATGAGATGGTCTAGCCCCAGGGCCGGGGGGGAGCACCAACCAAGCAGAACTGGAGGATAAGGATGAGCAGAGGAAGGAGCGAGTTATTCTCCATGAAGCCAGAATACATTCTCTTCAGGCCATGCTGTAAAGCCTCGTTCTAGGAGGATCAGAAGGATCTAGTTCTAAAACACCATGATTGTAAACCCTGACTCCAAAAGTGGTTCTCAGGCTTGATAGGAAAAAAGCAGAACTGGCGGATGGAAGCTTCTAACTGGTGGCGACCAGTGATGGTCTCCATTGTTCTCAGGATTCTCAGAATTCCCCTGGAAAGTGAGCCTTTATTTCAGATACAAACTTTGAAGGTCGAAGAATAAAAGTGGCACCAGCTGCTTCCCAGAACAGAGAGGCAGAGCCAAGTGCTGGGAGGGAAATTTCCGAGCCAGGGTAACACCCGTGGGCCCAGGGGGCTGCTGAGAGCGGAGCCCCCGCCCAGTGGCGCCTCGCCCTCCTCCTGCTGGCCACCTCCTTTGATTTCCTCTCCAGTTTCTCTTCCTCTCCCCCGCTTCACTCTCCGTTCCTGCTCTCTACCTCCTAAATGAAGCCAGAGTTGTTTTCTTATAAATTCTTTACTGTATCTGGCAAGTAGAGTTTCATACTCCTGGTTCCTTGCTTCTTTGAAGCCAATAACATTTGACATTCTTCCAGCGCAGGGGAAAATCAAAGCCCCACGGCCTGTCTTCTGTTTACTCGTGTGTGGGTTGTGATCAATTGAGTATCTGTGAGTGAGTGACTCTTGGCAGCAAGCTGTCCTTCACTCCTAAAGGAAATGATGGGGCACTTCTCTCAGCTTTCTTCTGAGGATGGGGAGGAGGAGAGGAAAATAGAGGCCTTTGTTTCTCTCCCTCTCTCTTTCCCTCTCTATGCAGTTACAGCAGCGGCCTGGGTGGGTGTGGAACTGTTCCTCCCAAACACGCACCCGTGTTTGCACACATGCACACCCACGCCCAGCCATGCTGACACATGTAGCTCTGGGAAGGGGGGTGACAGCCACAGTGAGACCTATGCTTTGGGCACTAAAATTCCCCCCACCCTGGAGAGAGCCCTTTCTAGGGAGGGGCACAGAGACCCAGAAGGAGGTGCAGATGGGGCCTACTAAGGGGGTGGCAGAGTCCCAGCAAAGGGACAGCACCAGTGAGGGTGAAGTAGCGAAGTCAGGGAGGAAGACAGAAGAGGAGAAGTGAGGGTCAGTCATGGGGGAAGCAAATACCCACAGAATGAATGGTGGGGCAGAGACGGAGACAGAGAGAAGGACAGAGAAGAGAGAAGAAAGAGGTACCTCTCAACATCCCCCCAAAGGCACAAGAGAAAAGGGGGCTGAGTCTGAGCAGTTGCTTCCAGCCTCTCTCGCTCCTGACTTGGCCACAGAATTTTCAGGGCTGGGCCCTCTGTCCCACAGGGCAGGTGCTGGTGGCTGGAGCCCCTCAGGTGTGGATACCAGGTTTTGCAAAGCACCTTCCATGGTTTTCAGTGGAAGGCTGGCATCACTAGACTAAACAGAGTTAAACGAGTTTAACTGTGGGACTCGCCCGAGCCTTTCTCGCTGCGTGTCCGGATTACAGGTCGCCGTTTCGGAGGGTCTGAGAGGCCCTGACCTGTGTGCCTTTCCTCTGCACAGGTGCACTCCTGCCTGCTGAGTGTGCGGGCCGGCAAGGACGGCTGGTTCCAGCTCTACAGCCCCGGAGGGGTGGCCTGCGATGATGACGGGGAGCTGTTCGCCAGCATGGTACGTGGGGTGGGACCCTCAGCAGGGGCGTCAGGCACCAGGGCCGCCTCTCCTCACTGTGAGGGAGAGCGGTCCCGAGCCACTGTGGCCAGCCTGGGAGTTTCCAGGCTCAAGTGACGCTGCCGATGAAGACAGCAGGGATGATGTCCGCGATGTCACTCTCTCGTTTCTTACCGGAGCAGGCACCGAGCCGAGGCCTGAATTCCCTCTCAGTCTCACTCAGCAATGTGAGGAGGTGACACTGTCCCTCTGGTTTACAGACGAAGTGGCTGCAGACTGGGGTGTTCACTGTCTGAGCTCCCACGGCCCGTTGTAGTGGCAACGTGAGGTCCAAGGGACTGCGTGCCTAATGTGCCCAGGGATTCTGGGGGCGCAGCGGAGCCACTGCTCCTCTCAGCCTCGACGTGAGCAGCCCAGGTCAGGGTGCTCGTCCCACTGGGGGGGGGGTGAGGGATGTTGAGTCACCAAACCGTTATCTGCACCCATGGTGACTTCGCACTTTCTTCGTTCACTGTGTCAAACACTCACGGGCACTGTTAATCTCCACAGCAACCCTGTCCCTTCATTACATCCTTGTCGGAGTATTTCCAGAGAGATGCAAAGGCTTGCCTGAGGCCACACAGGACTTCTGCCTCCTAGCCCCTCCTTTGACCCAGGCCCAGGCTGTCTGGAGCCGGCCACTTCTTCCCGTAGCAGAGTGCCTGTCTCCCGAAAGGGGCTCAGACTCCCATCTCCCAAGCCAGGTGCTCTTCTGGGTGGCCGGCGACCTCAGGTATCTCACCTGCTGACAAAACCAACTCAGTTCCGCAGTCACGTCTCTTCTCAAGCCCGAGGAAGCAAGAATGCCAGCCAGGCCTGGTTCAGATCACAGCTCTGCTACAAACTAGGTTGTTGACCTTGGGCTGGTAACCTGCCTCTCTGGGCCCCATTTCCACAGCTGTCACACAGGGAATGTAGTGTTGGCTCCTTGGGGTTCCCGTGGGGATTGCGCGTGACGGTAGATGCAGGGTCGGGTCTGGCACACGTCAGTGCTCGGAAGTGACGGCCGTGGTTATTCTCATCGCTGCCATGTGGCCATTCAGCGGGGTGAGCTGCTCATGGAGCTCTCCACAGTGAACTTAGCGGTGTTGTTTCTGCAGTGACGACACATTGAGGCACTGCTGTGGAACCTTTCTTGAAAAGGGGCTTATTTTTAGGTCCTGTTTCTTACGCACTCGCTCTCCACTCCTCACCTGCCTCCTGACAGCCCCTTCTGAGTGCCCTGTGCATCCCGGAAGTGCAGGCCTTGCCTGCCTGCACCTACTCTCCCACCTCTCCCAGCTCCTCTGACGTCACAGCTTCACCATGGCAACGCCCAGTGGTCCCCCCAGCCGCTCTGTGAGAGACTTCAGGGAGCTGGCAGCCTCATAGCCAGAGGAACTGCATTTGTGCGCCAGAGTTGTTAATGATGGAGCAGAAAAAAGACACGTGGAAGGAAGGAAGGAAGGAAGGAAGGAAGGAAGCAGGCAGCCCCTGGGATGGCAGCACGTCATTTCCATGGGAATGTGTGGCAAGGAAGAGGTCCCCTTGATGAGGCCTCTGTTTCCAGCCACGGGTGGGCATTTGCTACTGTGTGAAGTAGGGGAGAGCAGAGGAGGAGCTGGGGCCCCCAGCTGTCGGGCTGTCTCCAGATTCCTGGAAGAAGCACAGTTACCGTAATGGCTGCCCCACATCTAACCCAGTATGGAGCAGAATTTGCCTATTGGATTTCTGGGGCTGGGGACCACTCAGAATACCTTTGGGCTTACCAAGGGCTGGGGGAGGGGAGACAGGGCCCCGTACCATCCCATGTCCTGTGAGGCCAGGCCCTGCTCCCTGAGCAAGGGCTGCCCAGGAGTGTCCACCAGGTTCAGCAGGACTGAGAACCCAGAGGGCCAGATGTCAGCAGAGTCCCAAAGGCAGCAGGGGGAGGGTTATTTTGTGGGGGAGGAGATGTATAAAATGTACATAATATAAAATTCACCATCTTAAACCCTCAGTGCACAGTTCAGCGGCATTGAGAACAGTGGCATTGCTCTGCGATTATCACCACCATCACCCATCCGCAGAACTTCCACCTTCACAAACTGAAACTGTCCCCACTAAGCACCACTGCCCCCTACCCGGTCCTGGCCCCTGCCATTCTCCTTTGTGTCTCTGAATCTGCTGCTCTGGGTCTGTCACATGAGAGCAGTCCTGCCGGATTTATTCTTTTGTCACTGGCCTACTTAGCACAACGTCCTCGAGGTTCATGCTCGTGGGAGCACGTCAGGGCAGGGTCTTTGGAGTCCCCCTGGGGGGCTGGTGGTCACGGCAGGTCTCTCTGTCCAGGCAGGGCATGGTCTGATCCGTGTCTTCTGGTTTCACAAACCTCCCTCACACGGGACGCAGGCCCACCCCTCACCTGGACCGTCTCTCCTCACAGGTGCACATCCTCATGGGCTCCTGTTACAAGACCAAAAAATTCCTGCTCTCCCTGGCAGAAAACAAGCTGGGACCCTGCATGCTCCTGGCGCTGAGGGGCAACCAGACCATGGTGGAGGTAAGGAGCTGGCCCGAGGCCCTGGTGGGCCGCTGGCTCACCCGGTCCCTGGGCCCTGTCGAGTGAGCACCAAGCCCAGAGCTGGTGCAGGAGCTGGGGACGTGGTAGTGGCCAAGGCAGGTGCGACCCCAGCCCTTCTGAGCCTGGCTGGAGGCCTTCACCAACCAGGTTTTTCAGTTTCATCTGGGATCTGCACTGTCCAAACGCTCAGGGGAGGTTACTATTCCGTTTGTCTGTGGCTGTGTAACAGACCGACCCAAATGGGGCCTTCAAACAATAATTCTCACTTATTTTGCTCATGGAGCTGTAGTGACTGGGCTCAGCTGCCCAGTTCTCACCCTGGGTCCCTTGTGGGGTCAGTCAGATGGGAGCTGGGCCAGGTCACCTCCAAGGCTTCTTCACTTGGGGGTCCAGCACTGGCCTGAGAGGACTCAGCCAGCGGGGCTCCCAGGCCTCTCTCCATGCAGCAGCCGGGGGAGTAGCTCTCCTGCCCACTAAGGAGCACACACTGGCCCCAGCCCCTCATGCCACCTCTCCCTGCCCCTCTGTCCCTCCCACCCCCAAGTTCCCAGAGCCACTGGGCAAAGAGAGGCCAGCCGGGAGCCACATCGCTTTCCCTAACTAGCCTCAGAAGTCAGGCAGCCTCACTGCCCCTTCCGCCTGATAGAACTCAGTCCCCCGGGCTGGTCTGTGGTCTAGGGGACAGGAGTAGATGTCTCCTGTCAGCGAGAAGAGCATCAAAGCACCAGAGGGTCCCGTGCAAGTGGAAGTAATGGTGGGACTTGAGATGGAGGAGGAGTTAGCAAGAGGCAGGAGCGGGGTCTTGCAGGCTGTGGGGACTGCACCCGCCAAGGCCCGCTGCCGGAGGCTTGGCAGAACAGGACAGGGGAGGTCGGGCGCTAGAACATAGTGAGTCCAGGGGTGAGAGGCTCGGGATGCAGGCGGACATGCGTGAAGAGCCTACTGGTGCCCAAAGGTCCTGGTGAGGAGTTTAGCGTTTAGTCCATGTGCTCATCCTGAGTGCCTTGTTGGGGGACTTCCAGGAGAGGCGTGAGCAGGAGCGGTGGTGTGAGGGCTGGGCTGGCTCTTCTGGGCAAATGAAAAAGGAAAGGGGATCTCCTGGGCAGGGCGGGCTGGGAAGGAGAGTGCGCCTCTGCAGCTGCCCGAGACCCTCCAGGAGGCAGCGCAGTGCACGTGTTCACCAGGCTCCAGTTCAGTGCCAGGCACTGAGGGATTGAAGGAGGTGTCTGTCTTCAGGCCCGGTCTGCATCGTTTCCACGTGTGTTTGCCAAAAGCCCGCTTGCCGTGTGCTCACCGGGGCGTACACCAGTGTTCCCTTTGTACAGATTCAGGAAGCAGGGGTGGGTGATTTGCACGATGTCACACAGCCAGAAATGCAGAGGCAAGGGAGTGGGGCTGCTGATTTTCAAAATAAGACCCGCAGGCCCCCTTTCCAGGGCATGTGGGGCTGCTGGATGGGCTGTTTGCCTCTACCCGGAGCCGCAGGCCGGTGATAACGTGCCTCCCATGCCCTCGGCAGATCCTGTGCTTGATGCTGGAGTACAACATCATCGACAACAACGACACACAGCTGCAGATCATCTCAACCCTGGAGAGCACCGGCGTGGGGAAGCGCATGTATGAGCAGCTGTGTGAGCGGCAGCGGGAGCTGAAGGAGCTGGTGAGTCCGGGGCTGGCCAGCCAAGGCGAGCGGCTGGGACCATGGCACCTGTGGGGACCTCTGTCTCGCTGAGTCCCCTCTGAGATAGAACGAGGTCGTGATGAGCACCCACCACTTTCCAGATGATCAAAGATAGGCACAGAGAGGTCAGGTCAGTGGCCCGAAGTCACATGGCTTATTGAGGTCCTGGCCAGGACTACATCCTGTTTCACACCCAAAGCCACGGTCTGGGCCCGCCCGCCTGCCACACATCTGCACATCTCACTTTAGTGCATGAGGCCTGGACCTTCCATGCCAGCACATCTCTGTTCACATGCTCGCACAGCAGAACTGAAGAGGGGGAGTTCACGCCCCGGTCTTCTAAAGCAGCCCCTCAGCCACTGACTAAGGGGAGCAGGTCTGTGGACACTGCAGCTCCCCTACCATGCAGGAGGAGTCGCTCTGAGACATGACTCCTCTCCCACTTCCAAGAGGTCCCCAGAGGCAGCTGGGCTGAGAGCAAGACCTTCCATTAGTGGCCTTCATGGACTCACTTCCCCACTCCCCGGATTCCTGGGATCACCTCTGGAATGAACCACCTGTGCTCAAACCTTGCCTTGGGTCTGCCCCTGAGACCAAGGCCACTGTGCTGGCTTCTACAACCAAGAAACAAAAATGGAACCCTGCGTGGTGTTAATACCGGTGGGGGTACAGGGAGGAAACCTGGGAAAGGAGGGGTCATAATCAACCTGGTCTCTATTGCAGCAAAGGAAAGGCGGGCCCACCAGGCTAACACTGCCCTCCAAGTCCACAGTGAGTTGGTTTTGTTCTCTCTGCGGGGCCAGGTGGAGGGGTGCGGGTGGGTTGACCCTCCCTGCTGGGCATGGCACTGTCTGGGGGAGTGAATGGGGGAGGTGAACTAAAACCCCACAGTACTTGAACGGCCGGCTTTTTAAGGAGGAAACTGAGGTAATAGCTCATTAGTTAATAGCTAATTGGTAATGGTACATTGAGCATTTATGTACCAGATACTGTGTTAATTCCTTTATCTTCATAACAACCCACTCTAACCATCCCCATTTTGCAAAGGATCTTAGTTTCTTATATCCTGGTGCCCCACATCCTTGGCACAGGGCCTCTACCTCATGGTCTAAAAGAGGCTGCTCAAGCTCCAGCCATCTAGTCTGCATACCAGCCAGCTGGAAGAAGGAAGAGGCAAAGATGAATATGACCCTTCCCTTTAAGGACCTTCATGGAAGTTCCACTCAACACATGTACTTAATATATCCTTGCCCAGATTTAGCACATGGCCCCAGCCAGCTGAAAAAATAGCCTTAATTGAGGACAACCAGGTGGCATCTATAACCCAAGAATTCTGTCACTGAGATGGAAGGGAAAATGGATCTTCACCTCAACAGCCTCACAGTCTAGGGCTAGATGTTCATCAGCCTCCACAGTCCTGAGAGTCCAGGGGGTGCCACGTGTTCCCACATGGGAAATGGGTACAAGCTGCTGCCTGGGAGAGTGGGGTGTGTCTTTGCACACACACACACGCCTGTGGGAAGGACTTGGCCTTGGAACACCCCAGTTAGTGACTCAGGGTATGAGTCACAGCACTGAAGGCTCTTTCCTCCACCTGGCAGCTGCCACCCACAGGGACAGCCCCTCCCTCCCTGACACTGTTCTTGGCCCAGCCCACCAAGCCATGTCATCCCCTTAGCTCCTGGGGATTTGCCACCCCCTGAGACGGCTGTCTGTGGGGCAAGGGAAAGGAGATGGGGAGGGGGCGTGGGCTGGCTCACTCAGGGTCTTGGGGAGTTCCTGGCAGCCCCTAAGGCCCCGCCTGCCCTCTGTTTGCAGGATGCAGACTTGGCTCGTTTGCTGAGCTCTGGCTCCTTCGGAAACCTGGAGAACCTCAGTTTGGCCTTCACCAATGTAACCAGTGCCTGCGCTGAGCACCTCATCAAACTGCCTTCTCTCAAGCAGCTGAACCTGTGGTCCACTCAGGTACCTGTGGCCCGCTGTGCACGCTGCTCCCTGTGTTCTCTTCCGTGCACCCGTCTCCATGGCTGGCCTTTCTGTCCAGAGCCCACGGCCCTGTCACTGATTGCCACGCCCTTCCCTTGTTCAGTGGCCACTTCCAGAGGTCAGAGGGGGCCTGGAACTGTGTGAAGCCCAATGGCCCATCTCACAGTTGGAGCTGCTGAGGCCCAGGGCAGACACGTGCCAAGCAGTGCTGAAAGGCAGGGCCTCCTGTGCTTGTTGGCTACTGTGGGCCTCTTCCTTGCAGTAATGACCCCAGCACCACCACGCTTGCTGCCAGTGCTCAGTATTAATTGCGCTGTTAAGCGCTTAGCGTGGATACGCATGGGTGGTCTCCACTTCACACCTGTGATGCTTCGGCCCCACCGTTGCTCACACTTACAGAATAAAATGCGGCGTTCCCGTCAGTTTGCCTGCTGGGCCCAACCCTCTGTCCTCCCCTTGTCCTGCCCAGGGAAAGGCCACTTCACCTCCTGTTCACAGCCCACCTTGACAGGTGGCTAAACCAGCATGCAAGGGAGGGCCCCTGCCAGGCCCATGTCCCACCAGCAGAAGCTAGATTGGAACCCAGGTCTGGAGAGGCATTTGAGTCTTTGGAGAGAAGTGAGAACAGACCCTGAGACCAGGAGGGCTGTGGGCCTGCGAGCTGGGCTCTGCCCCCACCCTCCCCTCCAGAGCTGCCCCAGCCTTGAGGTCCTTTCCCTGGGTGCCTCGGGGGGCCAAGGTCAGCCTCCAGGGCTAAGAGTTTCTGTGCCCCACAGTTTGGAGACGCCGGCCTGCGCCTCCTGTCGGAACACCTCACCATGCTCCAGGTGCTGAACCTGTGCGAGACGCCTGTCACCGACGCTGGCCTGCTGGCCCTCAGCTGTGAGTACTGAAGGGACCGCCGGGGTGGGCGAGGCCCCTTTCCATCCATTCACTCCTTCCTTCACCTTGGCACCAGGCACCGTGCTGGGTGCTGGGATAGATGCATTCAGTCACAAGTGTTTATTGAGCACCTACTGTGTGCCTGGCACTATTCTCGGTGGTGGGAACAAAATGGGGGAGGAAATATCCCTGCCCTCATGGAGCTTAAACTTTAATGGAAAAACAAAAAATGAGTCCAGCCAAGCCTGTACCCTCCTGATTCTGTCATAGCCTCGAGGGACCAGGTTCAAGGCAAGTGCTCCAGGACATTGCTACTGTGCTCCCCGGTGCACCTGAGCCATCTCCTGAGAGCTGGTTAGAAGTGCAGGTTCTCAGGCCCTACCCCAGGCCTGCTGACTCAGGAACTGCTGTTTGAAACATGCCCGGGTGATTCCTGGCACATTCAAGTTTGAGAAGCGCAGCACTGATAGAAGGAGCCCCACAACAGTCACTCAAGGAGCCTTGAAATGACAATTTCTGAACCCAACCGCAAGCTACTGAACGAAAATCCTGGGCGACGTTGAGCCTGGGGGTCTGTATTTCCCGTGTCAGTCCCTCGGCTCAGACGGGAGGCCGTGGGCTCAGCTGGGAGGGATCGAGGAAGGCGCCCAGGGACGTGGTCAGATCTGAGTGTGGAAGGCAGATGCGTAGGAGTTGGCCAAGAGGGAGGCCTGCTGGACAGTGGCGGTGACTTCGACAAAGTCGTTGGCAAATTTGGGGTGGCTTTGCGGGGGCGGCAACGGGGTGCATGGAAGGCAGAGAGGGTGAGATTTGGAGCCGCTTCCTTGCCAGCGACACTGGAGTCACACCCTGTGGGTGGGGGCCCCCGGGGAACAGTGCAGGCTCCCGGGCCTCCCTCCGGCCTCTGGCATCGCGTCTCCGGGACTGAGACAGCACGTTCCTGTCTTTAACAGGTTCCCCGGACAACTCTTGATGCAAACAGTTTTTTGAGGCTTGCTTATGAGAAGCCTAGGGCTTGAATCAGTGTCCGGGGTTCCCTTGGAGGGAGGGGGAGGCCCACCCCATCAGGGATGATCTGGGGTGAGGCATCTTGAGTCCTGCGGGCATCTGGTCTGGGCCGTGGAGGGACACGCCAGAGGGACCAGAGAGATGGAGGCTCAGGGCAGGGCGAGAAGGAGGGCCCGGTTGAGACCCGCACACGCCTGAAGTAGACTTTCTGTACCGAGCGGCCCCCCAGCTGGGCCTCTTCCTCCCCATCTCCTAGGTAGGGACCTTGGCCTCTGCAGTCCATCCCCCGACTTGGCCGCCTCTCACCTGTAGCTGCCCCTCGTGGGGCCCCCCGACCTAATGACTGTGTCTGTCTGTCCTTGCCCAGCCATGAAGAGTCTCTGCAGTTTAAACATGAACAGCACCAAGCTCTCGGCTGACACCTATGAAGATCTGAAGGTAATTCATTCCATCCTTCTTTCCTTCCTTCCGCCAACACCCAGATAGGGGTGCTTTGGGCGCATGGAGGTCACTTTCCAGGAGGAAAGGCTGTTGGCTGTTAACACTAGCAGATAAGCCAGTAAAGACAAGACTGGCAGGTGGGAAGAAGCAATAAAGAGCCAAGCCAGCAGGGAGCTGGGGGACTGGAAGCAGGGGTGGCCTATTTGGCAAGGGAGGGCCGGGGCAGCCCCTGAGCTGAGACCCCAGAGTAAGAAGCCAAGGATGCAGGGGCAGGAGGAAGCACCTGTGCAGCAGTCCTAGGGCAGAAAGAGTGGCGAGAACTGATGGTAGCAAATGTGACTGGGACGTGAGAAAGAGCATAGACTGGGGCAGACCCTGGACTCCCACGTAGGTCCTAGAAGGACTCTGGAATTCATCCAGGTTCAGTGGAGAGCCTGAGCGTCTCTAAGCAGGGGAGTGAGTTATGCTGCGTAGAGCTTGTTCAGGCTGTTAGATGGAAAACAGATTCTCTGAGGGGGAGCAGGAGCAGGAGCAGGACTGGTGCAGCCGCACAGTGGGAGCCAGGCTGGAGAGGTGAAATCAGGGAAAGGAAGAGGCCATGGGTAGTGACTTTGGTCTTGGGAGTGGGGGATTAGAGGGACTGGGCTTTCAGCAGCCTCCTGCCACCCTGTCATCCTGGGCTCGGCACCAGTGCCCCAGAAGGGAGTGCACAGGGCAGCGGAGAGAGCCAGCACGCTGGGAAGGAAGGGCCGAGCCAGGAGCCACGGATGTGCCAGGAGCACGCCGGCACCTGCACACCCTGGGAGCTGCTTGGAGGGGCCCTTCTGGCAGCTCTGGGCTGAGGCCCACCTCAGGAAGGCCTCCTCCCCTGTCGTCTCCCACCTCCAGCTCAGCCAGACCTGCGGCCCGGGACTTGTTCCCTGGCAAAGCCTCTAGTCACTTGTGGAGTACCTACTGTGTGTCAGCCCCGTGCTGGGGACAGGGACACGGAGGTGCAGCTGGCTGATCTGTGGCCAGGAGGAAGCACAGCTAAGACCGGACAGGGCTTGGGGGCCAGCAGGGAAGAGGCAGCCAACTCCACTTACTGAGGCAGAAGGGTCTTCACAAAAGGGAGTCTTGAGGAGTTTTCCAGGCAGGCCAAAGGAGACAGCTGGGCACAAGGGACATGCAGAGGGGGGACCAGGGTACAGGATGGGCCAGGGCAGAGCCAGCCTGGGTGCCCAGCCACAGGGTTCAGAGCTCAGCACCATCACCTTCACTGGGGTGCTTGTCAGGAATGCCAATCCAGGGCCCCCCCAGACCTGCTGTGTCCAGATGGGCGTTTGAACACCACCCCGTGGGCCCCTGTGCCCCCAGAAGCTGGAGAAGCACTGTTTTTGAGCATCCCTGAGTTCAGCATGCCAGAGAACTACACGTTGCCGAGACCAAGCTGGAAGGGGCTGTAGTAAGCCACGTGGGAGGAAGTCACTTTCAGTGGGCATTTTATTGTCAGGCGTTTGGGAGACACGTGGTACTAGCTGGGCGATTCCGGCCAGTGACGCCCAGCCTCTGTGCGGCGGAGACTCGGGGAGGACTGGAGGCCGCCTGCCTCCAAGGAGGCCAGGTAGAGTGCCCAGCCCAGCCCAGCCCAGCCGGGGCTTCCTGGTTTCAAGAGAACCCGGGAATCTAGTTTCTCCTGTGTAGTCTCCTGCTTTTGAAAGGTTGGCCTAAATGTTTGTTACAGTGCTGTCCTGGTGATGGCAGGCCCCCTGCGTGGCTGTGCCCCGGCAGTGGGGGGCCACAGCAGAGCAGCAGTGAGGAACTGTGTGGGGGAGAAGAGCTCACTGGCCAGTGCGCAGGGAAGTGGAAAGTGGGGGGAGTAGAGGCGGCAGACCTGTCTGCAGCTTCTCCGCACAGAGCAGGCTCGTCAGGAAAAAGCCAACTGTTTATAAAAGGGGGAGGAGAGCAAGCACGACTGGGTGGCAGGGGCGGAGAGCAGGAAGCTGCCTTGAGGAACAGCAAGTGCGAGACCCTCCACCAACCCCCCAGCACCTGCAGCTGAAAGTGGCCCCACTTCATTCACCCTGTTTCTGAGGACGATGAGGAAACGAGCAATAGCATGAGTGAGACGAGCTAGCGCCCGTCTGTAAGCACGGGGCGTCGTGTCGTGTCGGGCAGGGCGCGGTGGGATCTCCGTGCCTTCAGTGTTTAATCCCTAGCGTAGTCCCGTGAGCCTGGGGTTGGACCTGGATTTGCTCCACAGATGAGGAAACCGAGCCTCCAAGAGGCTGTGGCGGGGGGGTGGTGTTGTGCCAGGCCCTGCAGCCAGCAGGTGGTCCAGATCCGCTCTGAGGCAGGGACGCGGGGTGCCCAGCGGCCTGCCTTCCCGGGGCCAGGGACATGCCAGCCGCTGTGTGTTCCTTCTGAAGTCGCCCGGACCTGGACTCCAGGGAGCAGCAGGGCGGGCCGGGGAGGGCCGGGCTGGGTTCCGGAAAGAACCGGATCCTCTTGCTCCCTCGCAGGCCAAGCTCCCCAACCTGAAGGAGGTGGACGTCCGCTACACGGAGGCCTGGTGAAGCCCCCTCGGCAGGAAGGAGTTGGCGCCGAGACACTCAACTCTTGACTAATTAGCCGTAGAGCGGCCGGTCCGGGGTCCCACCCGGCACCCTGGCTGCGAGATAGATGGGGGAGTCTTTCTGGGGGCAGAGGGCGCTGGGGGGGGGGGTGGGGAGGGGGTTCATAAGTACGCCCAGCCCCCGCCTAATTCTCTTAGCTTCATAATCGGAACCTTGACCTGATCTAAAATGGACTTTGTAGCAACCAGAGGAGCATCAGCGGGTCGGGGAGGGGATGGGTGGGGGGCTTGGGGAGGGGGGACCCTTTGTGGATTTTCTTTGCCTTTGTGTTTAATGCCATGTGGGGAAAGTCAACTCCGACGCCACCGTCACACGCGACCCGAGGGGCCTCCGGGGCCGAGAAGGACGCTTCCTTCCTCCGAGGCTCCCGCCGGGAGCTCCCTGCCGCCGGGACGAGAAGGTCCGGTCCCGTCATCCCGCCCACCCGTCCTGTGTCCTCGCCATTGCTATGCAAAGTGATTCTTGTTGTACATAAGATTTAAATAATGCGCCTATTTAAGAAATGTTGTCAAATTGCAGGTCTGGGACCTGCCTCTTATTTATGAAGTCTCTGACCCGCCCGCCCGCCCTCCTGCCCACCTGCCCGCCCGCCCGCCCCTGGCGTTTAGTACTGTATAAACCAGTCGGCTGTCGGGGGAGTGGTAGTAGTATTGTTATTTTTTTAAAGGAAACCGACAAAAAAAAGAACCTCCTTGGAAAATTAATTACTTTTTAAGTCATGGGTTCTATATGCTAATGCTCTCTCCTCGTCCTTCCGTCCTGTGTCTGCCCACCCGCCCCAATGCATCTTCCCGCTGTCTCCGCCTCCCTCACGGGGCGGGGCCAGGCTGGGGAGGAGGCGTGGCGATCCCACACCACAGCCTCGCTCCTCCGAGGCCCAGCTTTCTCTCCACCCTTTCACACATTTGGAGTGGGGGGACGCTGACCTGTCGTCCCCCCATCCCTGGAGAAGAGCTGCCCCCACCCTTTCCCCAGAGAGCTCCCACCTCTGGTGGCCTCTGCTGTCCCTGCCCCTGACTGACACTGCGACCTGTGGCCTCCCCGCCCTCCCGTGCTCCCCGTGGTCTCCTCACGCATGCTGCCTCCTTGCATGGTCTCCTGGGAGAAGAGAGAGACGTCACCTCCACCCCGACTTCCCCCCACCCCCCACCCCCGAATGTGACCACTGCTGCGCAGACACCTTTCTGTCCCCACCTGCCCTGAGGACAACCACCTCTGTTTCTTTTATAAACAGTCGGCTTTTTCGTAACAAGCCCTCACTGTACAGAACAGCCCCTTTACAGTTTACTTGGGGTCCCCTCTCCCCCAAGCCCCTTTTTCTGTTGTTTTAGCACAAATACGCCCCCTCCGGCACCTCCAGACCCAACCCCCAGTCAACGTAATTGTTTTATATATATTTAATCTTATTCAATGGAAACCATGCTTTTGTCGTTTTATACTTTGCTAGGTAGACTTTATTACCCCCTGACTATGCCCTCATTTTTTTAAAAAAGGAAAAAAAAAGAAATTGGGTTTCAGTCTTAATTCATTTTACGTGCCAGGTTTTATTTCGTGTGCGTGTGAGTGTTCTGTTTTGTGTTTTGTTTTTGTTGTTTTCCGTCGTTTGGTTTTATTCTCTCCCCCTCCAGTCCCAGACTTTACAGCACTCTGGTGCGGGAAAAAGCAGAAGCAAAAAAAAAAAATTTTTTTTAAAGGAAAACTAAGAGAAGAACTGAGACATGCCACCTTTTCCCTTCGCACTGTTGCTTTCCCTGATGGTTATACTACTGTCACGTAGCTGTGTTCAGAGATGTGAAATACTTTCAGGCAAAAATAAACTGTAAGTGACTCATTGACACGTGGCCTTTCTGTGTGGCTTCCAGGGGGTCTTGCGGGGCAGGGAGGGGGCGGGCAGGTTCATAAGACCTAGGCCGAGAGTCGCAGAACCTGGGTGCCCTCTCCTGGGGGTCCATGGCATCTCATCCTCAGCACTGTTGACATTTGGGGCCAGCCTGGACATCATGGGAAGTTGAGCAGCACCCTGGCTTGAACCTGCTAGTTGCCGGGGGCACCCACCCCCAGTTGTAACCAGAAATGCCCCCAGATGTTGCCCACCGTCTCTGGGGGACAAAACCACCCCCCCAGGAGAGAGTGAGCCCCTGCCGTGGATCTGGACCGCTGTGCGGCAGGGCCCCACAGAAGCTCCTCAGATGGGTATGCCTTCTCCCCACCTGCCGGACTTGGATGCGCAGATTCTGAGTCTTCAGGTCTGGGTGGGCCCGAGGCTCCACATCTCCTAGCAGCTTCAGACTGGTGCCTAGAGGGCTCTCCAAGTTCAGAAACCTAGAACCATCCACCCAGATGTTCCCAAGAGGCAACTCTGTGTGTCAAAAAGAGAATGGGGAAGTGGAGGCCAGGAGGGGCTGGGTCTCTTGGTCAAGGTCAGCAAGGGGACCGAGGCAAGCTGATAACCAGTCCCTAGGGGAAGATCTCCCCGCTGCTGGCTGGTGAGTGGATGGAGCTGAGGTAGGACCAGGGCAGCGACCATGTACACGATGAGACTCAAGAGAAGCCTAGGAGTGACACTGCAGAACACGGTGACTGGGATGAAAGGAGGGCCAGCGAGGAGTCAGGATGGCACTCAGTGCCCCGGCCTCTCCGCCCGGCAGGCTGTGAGCACCTAGACAGGCAGCAGGGCTGGCACGCCAGTGCCCTGCCCCTGGCCCTCTGGCTCCTGGACTGCCTCCCTGGGTAGTCTCCAGCTGCCCCCCAGGGCCCATTTGCTTGTTGAACCTCTGCCCTCCTTTCCCCCCACCCCCCACTTTCCTGTGGTCCGATTCATGTTTCCTGCGACCACTTCCCACCTAAGCTACCTGTGCTGGAATCTCAGCGCCTGCTGCAGGGGAAGCCCAGACAAAGACAGTGACCGATCACACTAGGGGACAGAGGGACAGGTTGGAGAGGGAGACCTTCTGTGACAGGCTGGGAAACCCCCAAGGACACTGTAAAGTCAGCACGCAGGTCCTGAGCTCAGCTGAAGAGGCACCTCCCAGCTGAGCCAAAAGGGCTTTGTACCTGGGTGCCTGAAAAGTGGCTTGCACCCATTTTCAGAGGTGGGGTGGTGGCCGACAGGAGCTCTCAGACATTCCTAGTGGGAGTGGAAATCAGTTCAGTTGCTTTGGAAAGTGCACCCACTAAAGCTGAACACCTGCCTGCCCTGTGACCCTGCACACCCACTCCTGGGTGTGTGCCCGAGAGATCTGAGCTTGTGTGTCCACCGGAAGACACCGACTGGGGTGTTTGTAGCAGCGTTGCTCATAGTGGCCCCGAAGCGGAAACAACCCAGAAGTCCACTAACGAGAGTGAATGAACGCACTGTGGGACGGACAGTCATCTGGTGGGACGCGCAAGGGTCCCCATCGACAGGAGTGTGCACGAGTACACAGCGACACACTCCTGTGCTGGAGTCCTGCAGAGCAAGAGGAAAGGAACCGGCTGATACACACGATGACGTGAATTAACTGGATAGACGTTACGTTGTGTGGGAGGAGGAGCAGACATAAGTGAGGGTTTGCTGAAGGATTCCATTTACATAAAGTCCACGAACCGGCACAAGTCCTCTGTGATTACAGAGGTCCCAGTAGTGGTACCTCTGTGGGGGCGGGGGGCTGTTCGTGACTGGGACAGTCAGAGGGAACGATCCTTCTGGGGGATGGCAATGCCCTCCGTCTTTGCCTGTGGGTACAGAGACACTTACACACTCTAGAACTCCACACCTGAGATTTGTGTAGTTTACAGGATGTGTTTACACATCAACTTCTTTAAAGCAGCAGCCAGTGGACACACCCAGGTACGCGGCAGTGGGTGCACTGGTAAGTAGAAGTGGTGGCAGAGACAGCGAAGCGTCGCCCACCCGCCCGAGGAGTACAGCAGGGACGCGGCTCCCGCGTGGGTGAGCCCTGAAAACCCAGCCTGTGGTACGTGAAATAAGCCAGACACAAAGGACCGTTTATTGTGTGATTTCCTTTATATAAAGCGTCTGAGTACACAGAGAGAGAAAGCAGACTGACATCGACCAGGGGCGGGGGCAACGGCTCTGTGAGAACAGGGTTTTGCTGCAGACTGACGGGACCTGGCTGGAACTAGATGCAGGAGTGGTCACACAATACGTGGCCAGCGCTGTAAATGCCACAGTAAACTGGTTTCTTCTATGTTATAATTTGGCCTCGATTTTCTTAAGTGGCATCAGAAAAGAATTTTTTTAAAAGAAAATGTGGTTGCTGCTCCTCTCTGGCTGGGCTCTGGAGGGTGTGGTGCCAGTGACATCGTGACTTCTAGCAGAGCCATTCTCGTCTGTCCTTACCGGTTCCCCGAGTGTCCCCTCCTCAAAACACTAGACTGCCATCTGCTGGAATGCCGACATCATAAACACACAAACTCCCTTACCTGTGGCAGGCCCCCTTGTGCAATGCACAACTTCACAGCCGTACGTGGCAAGATGTGTGACTTTGCCTTATTTTGCAGTGCCCTCTCTCCAGGTTGGTTTGGGGCTTGGGGAACTTCATGCTGGCCTTCCCTCCTGTTTCCACTCTAAGGCTGGGGGCGGCCAGCCTGGGCTAGCCCGCCCCAGGTTCGCAGGGGGCAGGAATCCATCTGGCCCCCAACCTGCACATCAGTGTATTAAACCTGCCCTTCGGAGCCACCTCCAGGAACGAAACACTTTCAGTCATCCCACAGAAGCCAGAGGCCGAGGATGGTCTGAAAGGTTCCCACCAAGCTCCCGGCAGAAAGACCTCTTGGCTGTTTGCTTTTCCTCTGAATGTCACAGCAGGAACAGCAAGCTGTTTCCCTCAAACACGAGGCTGGTGTCCCCTCTCTGACTGGCCAGAGAGAAGGGGCTTGTGGGGGAAGAGGCTCAGAAAACAGGACGCTGGAATCTCAGGGGCTCCCAGGGCACAGGACCCCCCTCACAGCAGATCCTCTCTGGGCCCCCTCCCCAGGGGCTGCCATAAGGCGTCTTGAGCCCCTCACAGCCCTGGGGTTCCAGCAGTGTCCATCACTGGCGTGGGGTTGCCAGCCCTCCCCTGCCGGGT